TGATGATGATGATGATGAATAGCATCATTTTTCACACAGATTTCATTCATTAAATAAATTTTGTGTTTGCTTTTTGTCAAATTTAATCCAGGAATTTATGTAATGACCAAAAATGTATGTACAGCAAAAGGGATTAGCCATGATACAATTGATCCTGATTGACTTTTTTTCTATTTTTCTCACCATTTTTTCTGACTTAACAAAATGTTATAAAGGTATAAATTATATTTTGTGTAGGGGGAAATTTATATTCCTTAATATACACAAAAACACACACAAGCAACATTCATTGACTGAAAAAAAATGCTGAATAAATTGTCAAAGCAAAAAATTGTTTCTTGCCATTTTGTTTAATCTATTCAATCTTTACTTTTTTTGATGATGGACAATGTGACTTGGTTTTCTTTTTTTTTTCGCTATTATTCAACTGGTGTGCGTGCACGTTGAATATTATGATAATGATGATGATGATGATGATGATTATAGTATTATATAAAACTTAGATAACAACAGAAAAAAAATAAAATATTGTTTCCATCATTAACATCCAAAAATGGACAAAAAAAACTTTTTTGTGTGTGATGTTGAATCGTTGTAATAAAAATTGAATGAATAGAATAACCAACCAACCAAAATAAACATTAAAAGATGGGAAAAATACCTAAAACATTCTACAATAATAGAAAAACGTTTTTTTTAAAAAACGGTTAAAGATTCGTTTAAGATACCGAAAAAATATAATAATAATAAAATGAATTATCTCATCATCATCATCATTATCATTATAAATTTTAATTGTATATACCTTTAATATACATCTATGGATCTATGGATGTGTGTCAGTATGTTTTAGGCTAAATTTTGTTTGGTTTTGGTCGGGTTACACCATTACAATCGAGGATCAACCGGTAGTTGATGATGACTGAAATAATGCATTTAGCATCCATTGGATTCTCACATGGTTACAGTTTTTTTCTGTTGTTGTTGAAAAGAGAAAGAAAATATCGAGCAAGTGAGAGAGACATTTTGTTTTCTATATTTCCACCGTTATGACCAATATTCATTTATAATATAAATAAAAGAGAGAAAGAGAAAATGGACAATGTTGGATTGTTGTTTTTTTTTGAATGGTGAATATGAAACACCCAAACACACACCGCATAAAGAGTTTAAAAGAAGAAAAATGAAAATGATGTTCATAACACAAACAATGATCATAGTGTAAGATATCGTGTAGAAATACAAATAATAGAAATTTTTGATGATAAATTTCTTCTGAATGAATTGTTTGATGTTCAGTGATGTTCTGTACATCGATGCTTCTTGTCATGGATGTGAAAAATTTGAAAAATATTATTTGAATTCATTTCAAAATGTGAAACAAGTGTTTGTATATGGACCAATGTGTTTTCCTTTAAAAAAAATTTCAATGTTTATTCATTGTACAATCAATGAGAATCATTAATGAAAAGAATTTCTTTTGATTCTTTTGAATTTTTATCATCTTCTTATGGTTCTTTGTGTGTCTTGTTTTGCTTTTCTTTTTCATCAAGGGCTAATTTTTGTTTTTTTCCAATCGTCGTGAAACATATATTTTTCTTTCATCAATGATGAGGATTTGTTGTTTTTGTTTTCGTTTGGCTGTTTTTTATTGATGCAATAAAAGTGTTTGATTCATTTATTGAAAATCATGATGTTTTAAATGAAAATCAATTCAATTCGTGAATGTGTTGTAATCGTTTTTTCCCCTTTGCTTTTTTTTTCTATTCATTAAATCAAATTTTGAACACATTTCATACAAAATGTATTATCATCATCATCATCCAAATACAAATGATCATCAACATCGCCGACGTCAATCAAATCAATTCAAAATGGATCAATTATTTTGTTCATCATTAAAAAATCAAAAAACAAATAATTCAATAATCATAAAATATTTGTCAATATTATTATTAATGTTTTCATTATTTTCAACAAAAAATCTATTCGTACAAAGTTTTCGACCATACAATTATTATGCACCGCATCAATATCCTGAAACTGGACCATTATCATATAAGTAAGCATTTTCAAACATCACACAGATATTTTTGTTACAAGAAAAGATTTATTATCATATAAAACCCGTGGATGATAAACAAATTAAAATCGACACTAAAAAACATTGATTAGATTAACAAAAGGTTTATTGATTAATTGTTTTTTGTTTTGTTTCGAAAAGAAAAATCATTAACTTTGTTGTTCTGAAATTCTATATTTGAACAACAACAACAAAAAAATTGTCCGAAAAAACGAAAGCAACAAACTACTGATTCGTGACCGAAAAATTTCATTTTTTTTGTCTGTCGATTGTTAGAATCTCTTCAAATAACAATAACAACAACGAAAACAGAAAACTATGGCCTGCATTGAATTTTTTTTTTGATGATCTATTAGAGACTGAATTATAAAGTCAATCACACATAATCATTATTATTATTTTTGTGTGTTTCATTCTAAATTGGCACGTGCTTTTTTTCTCCACTTAGGATCAAATTAAAATAAAATGTTTGATGAACATACAAAACATTCATTCATTATTTCTATTGAAAAGAATTAGCTTTTTTGCCTATTCAGAATCATTTCCTAGTCTAGAAAAAAGTTTTTAAAAAACATAATTAACATCATCAATAATCATTATTGAACAATCAATATTAATTTCATTTCATTTTTTTCTGATAAATTAGCTTTCCATTGATTAAAGCATTTCGTGGTGAATTAACACCGAATAATATGCTTTCACAGGCAACACATTTATGTGAAGGTGCATTAATGGGTCCTAGTTCACTTGTTGTTTATCAACATTATCTTTATACTGGAACGATTGGCGGTGGTATTTATCGTTGTAATCTTGAAACTGGTAATGCAACAAGAATTGTTAAAGTTGCCAATGAATTATGTCGTACAAAATATTGGGATGCATCATTATGTGGTCGACCGCTTGGAATACGTGTTGATCGTTCGGGAAATCTTTATTTTATCGATGCTTATTTAGGTTTACATCAGATTAGTTTTTATGGTGCTAATCAACAACGATTACGTGTAAAACGTTTACTTTCACCTGATCAAGTTGGATCAAGATATATGACACATTTAGCATTGGATGAAGGTGGTGGAGCAAATGGCGGTATTATATTCTATATAACTATTGCTAGTACTCGTCATGATTTAAATGAATGGCCAAGAATGATATTAGAACCTGATCGTTCCGGTCGTGTTGTACGTTTCGATATGGATCTTAATCAAACAGAAATTTTAATGCAAGGTTTATGGTATCCATCAAGTGTTCAATTATCGGACGATCGAACATCAATTTTGGTAGTAGAATTCACTGCCAGACGTGTTGTAAGACATTATATCCGAGGTAATATTTTTATTTTATCAACAAAATATAAAAAAATTTCACGTAAATTTCATTTTTTTTCTACAGGTCCTCAACGTGGTAAAACAGAAACATGGATACAAAATTTACCTGGCGAAGGTGAACATCTTATTAGAAGTTTAGATAAATATCAAGAAACATATTGGCTTCCCGTAGTGAATGCACGTAATGTATCATCACCTTCAATGATTGATTGGCTAAGTGATAAACCATGGATTCGTGAAGAGATTATGCAAAATTTTACTGCACTTGGACAAAAAATTGAAATGCTTGGTGCTAAATGGACAAACTCTAATCTTGAAAGATTAGGATTTCGATTAAAAAATTTACATTTCTTTTATGATGAAGCACTATCAAATGATTATGGTATGGTTTTAGAATTAGATTCTAATGGTCGATTATTAGGATCATTACATTCAATTGATGGCAGTAATTTTAGATTATCTGAAGTTGTCGAAGGACCAACAGAAAATCCATATGAACGTGTATTGTATATTGGTTCTTATTCTAATCCATACATATTGAAATTAACGATACCAAATTTTACACAAGATTATCAACAAAAAAATAAACAAATTATCAGTAATAATAAAATAACCGAAAATGGTGTAGATTTTAGTCTATTACCATATGGAAGTACAAGACGTGCTATTGCTACAAATTTGGATGGTACAAATACAATAAGTCTGGATGATGATAATAAGGCCATTTTTATTAACGCACCATCATCATCATCATCATCATCATCGACATCAACATTGAATCGTAGATTACGAAAAGATGCTACAAGATATAGTAGTAGTACATAGATAAGATGATGATGTCATTGTCATTAATCTCAAATCCCAATGATCAATCATTCATTCATTCATAATAATGATGATAATGGACTTTTTGTTCCAAGTTTTTTTCAACAACAACAAAATGGTGACGACGACCTCATCTCACAAACAATAACTACACACACACACACACATTGCATTTAATTACCATAGATTTCATTATCTTGAATTTTTTCTTCATATTTTTCATTTCTTCAATTTTTCATATTTTGATTTTTGCACATCAACTTTATTTCAAATTAATTTGTTTTGTTTTTTTGCAACATTAATCATTCAAGTCAGATAAAGATAGAAACAAAATAAAAATGATTCTACAGTGAAATATTGACATTAAACAAAAAAACAAAACATAATGAATGATAATGAATAACAACGAACTTTTTTTTAAATAAAAAAGTTCTTAATGATAATCAACACACACACCGAGACACATCTATATACATGCCATGAAATTGTATATAATCTTTTTTTTTCTTCTCCAATCTTGAATCAAACAATTCATTTTATTTCATTTTTTTCAAATAAACGAATTTTTTTTTCTTTAAAATGTCTGAATTTCTGTGAAAAAATATGATTATGACCAAAATGATTGAAGCGAATAGAAATGATTTTTAATATTGAGAAATTCAATAAAACAACAACAGCGAATATGAAATCAGTAAAAATGAAATGAAAAATTTTCGAAAATTTCAACAATGGAAAATCAAATATGATTCACATCAATGTGAATTTTGTATTGGTCAATAGACCATTCATTCATTTATTCATTTGAAACAGTTATTATGGGCTCAATATATGTAAGATAAGGATGCTATATAAATGATCATATCATGTTTAGAAGCAAAGAAAAATATAAAACAAAAATGAAACAACAGCGTATCAGGTTTATTTATAATGTTTCCGGTAATTTTAGTTTGTTTGTTTCCAGAAGCATTAATTTGATTTGCTTTGGGATGATTTTCTTTTCACTTCAAATGAAAATATAGTCAATGTATTCAAAATGAAAAAAAATATCCAAATTCGAAATTCGTTTCTCGAATATTTCAGTGTGTGTTCATGTTTGTGTTTGTGTTTGTGTGTGTCTGGCCAAATCGAGCCAATATGTCAATCAGAATAATAAAACATCTAAGAAAAATGATTATATTGCGAAGATATTTTTTGTTGTTGATAATTTCCGTAATATGTTATCTTTTTTATCAAATAAATAATCTGTATAATACATCACAACCATTTCCCCAAATGATAATGATGATGAGAAAAAAATTCAATTCAATTCAAGATGATGTTCAAACCGATCAAAATGATTACAATGAAGATAATAATAATAATAATGAAATAATAAATGTAAACACAAGCATCAGTGTACTATTGATTGTATGTGATCGTTTATCATTAATACAATCAACATTGAATCAATTAAAATCGATTAAAGATGAAACGATTGCTTCATTTCAAAATAGATATAATAACAATGAAACAAATATTAATGGTCATAATATTCTACAAATGATGATCAACATGCCTATTTTTGTAAGTCAAGATTGTGGCGATGAAAATGTTCATGAATTGATTGAAAAATATGTCAATGATAGTGTTGTACAACAACATTATATATTTCCATTACAAAATAAACCTATCAATATTAAATATAAAAAATTCAGAGGCTATGTTAAAGTTAGTCGTCATTATAAATGGGCTATCAACAAAATCTTTCGAACATATCCGATTATCGATAAATTGATTATCGTCGAAGATGATCTAAATTTTTCTCCCGATTTTTTTGAATATTTTCTAACACTATCTACTCTTCTTGATAATGATAATAGAATCTATTGTATTTCTGCTTGGAATGATAATGGAAAAGATCATCTAATCAATCATTCGGCAATATCATTATTATATTTAACTGATTTTTTTCCTGGTCTTGGTTGGATGTTAAAAAGATCATTTTGGTATGAAATCAAAGATAAATGGCCAGATGTTTTTTGGGATGATTGGCTACGACAACATGAACAACGAAAAAATCGTTTATGCATTAGACCAGAATTATCACGTACAAGTACATCAGGAATGAAAGGTGTTAGTCGTGGTCAATTCTTTAAACAACATCTTTCATTCATTCATCATTTTGATAGATATTTTCCATTTTTTCAACATCAAAACAATATTGTTGATCAATTATATCCAGAAAATTATGATCAAAAATTTTTATATCAAGTTTATAATAAAAGTCAAGATATTCATCCGGTAGCATTGAAAAAAATGGATCCAATTTTTGTAAATAAAAATATTCATTCTTCATATCGTTTAACATATTATACAAAAAATGAATTTATTGAATATGCATCAATGTTTGGTCTTATGAATGATATTAAATATGGTGTTCCTAGAACCGCTTACAAAGGAATCATTAGCTTTATGTATAATGGATTAAGAATTTATTTGTCACCACCGGTTACACGTAAAATTTATTTAATCGATTGGAAATGATTTTTTTTATAATTATAAAATATTCAATTTTTCATTAAAAGTATTATGTCAAATAAAAAAAATCATGATGATTGTATTCATCAAACAAATGCTCAAATTAGAAAGGGTGTTTTTTTAAAATCACAGAGGGTATATTTGGCAATTATTACGGTTGAATTCGATAATGAAACCATGATTTTTGATCAGATTTTTCGAAAATAAAACGATCATGTAATCGATCACTTTGTCCTTGCCAGAATTCAAATCTTTCAGGAATAATGTGATATCCACCCCAAAAATTTGGCCTCGGTATTATTTCACAATTTGTCCATTTTTTCTCCTCTTCTTCCTGTCGTTTTGCAAGTGTTTCACGGGAATCTATTTTCTGTGATTGTTGACTAACAATGGCACTGATTCGAGATAACTTTGGCCGAGCATTGAAATATTGATCGGATATACTTTCCGAAACTTTATGAGCTTGTCCTTCGATACGAATTTGGCGTTGTGGATATTCCCAATAAAACAACAGGGCAACATTTGAATTGTGTTCCTGTAAGAATAAACAAAAACAATTAGTTTTACATTCAAAACGAAATTGATACATACAATTTCGAATCCTTTACGGCTTTCATAATTCGTAAATATTCGAAAACCTTGATCAGGATCATATCCTTTCAAAAGAACCATTCTGGAAGACGGTTTATTCTGATATGAAGTTGATAAACATACAGCATTGATTTCAGTATGTTTGCCGGCATTTTGTTTGGCTTTTTCAAACCAAATATGAAAAAGTTCAAATGGATCAGATAAAATATTCTCATCGGTGAGAGCTTCCGATTTATCACAATAAGGTTTACGCATATCTGGCATAATTTTTTCAAAAAAATTAATGATAAAAAACATAAAAACAAACAAAACACCAACCGCTAAGATCCGCAGACATTTTGGAAGACAAATTTATACGACGAAATATAATAAAAAATAGTGATAACTTTTTTGACATTAAAATTTTTATTACTTAAATAATCAATTTGACAGCTCAAAGAATTTTAATCGAGTTTAAGAAAAAAATAAAAATAAAAAGAGAATCCTTGACCTTTTGAGGATACTATTCATAAAATACGTGAATTACGGTACATCATAAGATTTTTCAATCCAAAATCGGCGGTAATTATTACAATTGATTTATATGATTTTAATCACCCGGTGCCGGTATAACACTCATAAGATTTTTTGACAGAAATTCTTCTTGTGTACTTCTTGGTCGAAATGCTGAACTTGTTTCAACACTATCGGGTGCACTATCCATAGCTATAATTTCAGGATTACCTTTGCTTTTTCTTTGCGTTTCGGGTTGTTTTTTATTATTATTCGAACCATCATTTTGGCTTTTGGCAATTATTTTATCTTTTGGTTCATCAGCTAAATTTGATTCATAGCATGAATTTAGCTTTTCATTGGTTATACATTTAAAAATGTATAAAAATATTGATGATGCAAAAATTATGATCCAAATATGTGATAATGATATTGGAAACATTTTCAATGATTCGTTTAACTAACTAAATTTGTAAAAATAAAAGAAACGTTGCATTTATACAAATTTATCATAATTTAATTCTGGAATATTCAAATTATATTGAGAAGAATTAATTTTGCAAATAAAATTAACAAATTCAATAAAATTCAGTCGACAACAATAACAATTTTACAAATTTTTGGTTTAAAATTATTAAAAAATGAATTTTTTTTCATAACGATTTCATAACTAGATTATGCAGTGATCGATAATCACAATGTGCTAGACCGGGTCAGACATATTTAGGATTTCATTCTGTAAATAGAATTCATTATAATTTTATCAATGAAAATTCAATGTAATTATATTACCGATAATTAATATAACGAACACCTTGAACTGTTTGTGCAGTAAAATTTGTAATATGACAGGCAAACAATAACATATTACGTGGTTGAACACGAATAGCAAAACGCATAAATGTTGCTGAATAAATAATCAATGCTAATGAAAAAACGATTAGAATTTTATCAATTATGATTAATTATCATTTAATTATATCTACCACAAGTCATAGTTGGACTTATAATGCTTGGTTCTTTTTGAATATCAGCTAATGCTGCTATCGGAATTCCCCAATTGGCAACTGTGTAAAGAAAATGGAAAAATTGTTGTTTTTTTTTCAATAACTTCCCACCAAAACAAACACTTACCAGGTCCCCAGAAATGCTTTTATAATTGACACATCAATGACATATTCACATTCAAAAATCCAAAATTAAAATGATTAAAAAAATAGAAAAAAATTAAATTGCTGCTATATAGTTTTGTTGAATTGTAAGAAAATCTTGATAATCAAAATTAATTTTGAATATAAAGAAAAATTATAATTACCGTGCTTCATTATTATTATAATTAAATTTGTATTTGGGTACAAAATTCGCCATCAAGATAAACGAACAACAGAAAACAATATTAGATTTAATAAGATTTCAAAGAAGAAATATGAATACCTCATCAAATATGAACGAAATTCTTTGCTTTTCAATTGTTGAAAAACATTTGAAACTATTTTTGACATTTTTTTTAAACAGTTATGTTTGCTTGATGATGACGATAGAATCTTTAAAATGTAATTAATTGAAAAACGGCTAAGAGAATTCTCAATCGAAAAATGCGTCAAAGTTTTTTTCTTTAATATCTTAGAATGAATTAATGAATGAATAATTTATTAAGATGATTGATGTGATAAATGAATTGACAAAAAAAAAAACAAAAATTATTAAAACACCTAAATCACCTTTTTCTTTGATCATCAAAACTTATTATCTTTCGCCAAGATGCTCAAGAAATTCAGCTGCAAAAAACAAAAACAAATCGTTCAAGGTCACGTGACAAACTTGTATATCCGTTCATAAGTAAGGTGACAATTTAAATATTTGCAATTTTCCATTGAATTCAATATTGATGGAAAAAGGTTTTTCCCAGGAAAACAAAAACAAAAAATTGAATTTGTAATCAATGAATGGGTACATCTTTAAAGTTTGTTGCTAAATTATCAGTATTTTTTCTTCCGGCATCTTTAAGACTTTTATTTTGTTTGATTCTGTCATAGATGAAAACACCCATAAACGTTGATTGATCTGAAAAGAAGGAGATATTTCAGATTTTTTTTGTTTTATTTTCCAATTTAGAATGAAATCATTTAGCAAAATCAAAGAAAAAAACAATCAATTTTTTGCTGTTGAAATAAATCGACAACGATGCTTCGATATGCAACAATGATTTCGGTGATTCATTAGATTAATGAAAAAAATGAAATGAAATGTTTCAAATCAACCCTAAATTTTAAAAAAATAACCGAAAATGGAAATATTGCTGTAGAGAAAAAAATTGATAAATCAAAGAGTTTCCGTTCTGACCTTGTTTGTTTTTTCTTTCTAAAACGAATTAATAATCGATACAAAACAATGTTTCTTTTTGTTTATTTTCTTGTTTGTTCGACTAATGAAACCCACTTGTTGCATCTTTTTTTTTCATTATTATTGTTATTCAAGATTGAATGCAAGAATAGATCACCTTCATGAGTCATCTAATGATATCGATACATTCATCATTAATAACATAATGATGATCAACACATCCAGCACATGACACATCCCATTTATTATTAGTAGGGAAAAAAAAAGGTTGAGATTCTGCTTTTTTCTCTATCTCTCTCTTTTCAACAAAGTTTTCTTCCATTTTTCTTTCCACTCTCACTATTTCTTTTCCAAGTTTTTTGTTTTTGGTATCTCAATGTGTGTGTGTTTGATGTCTGATGTCTACTTTGTGATGTAATTTTTTTTTCTTCGAAGGGTAATGATGATAAAATGGTAAGATTCTTATTATAATGTAATTCATCTTTCGAATATATCTCTGTTTAACACAAACACGCACACACATTTGAAATGATAACCCTTTGAAACCGGCTAACCATTTTTTATTCAGATAATCATGTTCGATAACATTGATCAAAATCAGCTATCAATGAATGAATGAATGAATGAAGAATCATCGTGCACTTGTCATTTTTTTTATCATAATTATAATCTTCATTTTGCCTGAAATGAATTTTTCTACTTGAAGAAAAAAAAACTTTGTTCAATAATTTATCCAAAATTTCATCAATAATTTGATCAACCTTAATAATAAGGTAATAAATTAAATTTCTGGTTTGTCCGAACTAGGTAACACTGGTTTTATTTATTTTTTTGTTAATTTAAAATCAGAAAGTTTTTTTTTCTATTCATTATCTCTATATTTATCAATGCTTGCTTCGTTATCTTTTCTCTTTTTTTTCACTTTCACTCTCTTATTTTTTCGTTTTGTTTCAATTCATTCAATTTTAATTTTCTCTCACGTGTTTTGATCAATTTTTTTATTTTCCAACAACCAAATTTGAATCATCCATGCGGTCCACTTAAAAATCTATTTACACGCGCGCTCGTGTTTTCTATAATTGCCTCTCTGTATCTGTATCCATGTGTGGCTGATAATTCAAGTTTTTTTTCCTTCACAAACCAACTAACCACCACCATCATTATCAATTACACATCAATCGGTGGTAAAACAAAACAACATTAACAACAACAACAAAACCATTTTGATCTTTAAGATGGATCAATCATCATGATTATGATTATGATGATGATGATGATGGTGAAGAGTCAACAAGTTTGTAAAACGAAAAAAAAAACGAAAGATTGAGAGAAAATTGGTGGTTGAATCACACTTTTACCTGTTCACTATAATTTTGTTTCAAATTTGATCCATAATAACTTTTTGTTTGTTTGTTTGTTTGTTGTTATTTTTAAACACATACGCATACAGGTAAAGAAATAAGTTGCGCGTGTTAAGTTTATTTTTATTTTCTTCAAATGATTTTCTTTTTACTGTTATACATTTCAACGTTTCAGAAAATTTTAAAAAATTACTTGTGGGTGTTGTGTGTGCAATGTGTGATGTGTGTTTTATTTGAACAACAACAACAAAAACAACCAAAAAAATCAAACATCGAATCTAATTGTCAAAGAATCGTAATTATCATCATCATCATCACCGATAACAAATTAATTATTATTATGTACGTTTGTTTATTGCATAAGCGCTTAAATCAACTTGTATTATGATCAACAACAGTTTTCATCGTCATATTAAAACCAACAAGAAAACAAATTTTTCTTCCATAGATACAAATAGTAACAAAAAACAAAAGGATAAATTATATTGGCTGTTAGCGATAGAGATAGAAATTGTGTGCTTTGTCGTATGTACCCGGAGAGATCCAATTTTTCTCCAAATTCTTTTTTGTTTCTTCTTCTAATCAAAAAATTTATTAGTAATTTTTATAGTATTGAGTCATTTTATCTGGATGAAACAACGGCAACCAGAAAAAAAGATTTTTAAAACAAAAACAAAAATGATTAAAATCATATGATATTAAATTATCGTTTTATTCTTTGAAACAGACGACAAATAATCGTTGATAACAACAAACGACATTAAACAAAAATTAGACGAAAAGAAACAAAACTAAACGATCAAACGATTCTTACCAATGTTGTTGATCCGATTGAATCAATCCATCATAATCATTCATCTTTAAATAATTTGGCATTACATTCAGATCAATTTCTTTGGTGAATTCTTTGATTTTTTTTTCTTAATTTTCTTATCATCTATTCAAATCATCATTTATATTGTCATTAAATGATTTTGATTAACTTTATTTTATACCCTTCCTACGATTAAAATTGATAAAAATCGAACAACAACAAGAACCCAAACAAAAATCAATCAATTCAAAATGAGCTGGAAAACCTGTTGGAATAATAATCATAATAATAACTTTCATAATAATTATTCGGGTAATGATGGTGATCAAATTGTACCGGATATTGATCGATCACCAAGACGTGGATCATTTATGGCTACATCAACGTCATCATCATCTTCATCATCAACATCATCATCAGGATCATCGGGTTCATCCTCACCAATTCGTTCACATCATCATTTACAACGATCTAATGGCCTAACATCAAATTCATCATCATCATCATCATCAATAAATCGTTTACCATTTGGACAAACATCAAATGTTGATAAATATTTTAATAATAATAATCATTTTCATCATCATCATAATCATCATAATCTATCAAGACATTCATTAAATTCAAATGATTTTTGGGAAGAAAAATATTCACGTATTTCTGTCATACAACATCCATTAGCAGCAGCAGCAGCCGCTACTACACAGCAATTATCAAAATATTAGATTTTTTTTTCTTTCTTTCTTTCGTTACATCTCTCATCATCATCATCTACAAATGATGATGATGATAATCATCTAATGATCTAATCTCATGATAAATATTTATTCCCATTATGTCTCCTATTCTTGTGTTTTGAAACATCGTTCAAATTTAAATACTTAATTTTAACCCTTTTTTCAACCATATGAAATTTTTTCTTGATCAATTATCACCGGTCAATGTAATGATTTCATTTACCCTAATCAAATGGTATCCATTTTTTTTGTTAAATTATAAATTACAAAAAGTTTATCAAGTGGGGAAAACAAATTTTTTTTTGTTGTCATTTTTTTATCGGTGTACGTTGCACCTTTTGGGAAGTAAAAAATGAAAATACAAATCATTATCAAGTTTTTTTTATTATTTTGTTTTGACTAATGTCATTGTTTTTTTTCTTTTAAATTTATCATTTTTTACACACCAAAATCATTATGATGATGTCATTTGATTAATTGTTTTTCCAAATGAAAACAAATTCCTATGTTTAAAATGTTGTTGTTGTTTTTGTTGATATAATCATTGATCGGACGATAAACTTTTTCCAATTAAAAAAACATGTTTAAAATGTAATTTGCCACCAGAATAATTTGATGTTATTTTTGACTCTTTTTGACTTTTCTACGGTTATGTAAAAAAAAATCTTGCATCAGTTTTTTTTTGTAAATGATTGCGTATATTTCGACGACGACGAAGAAAGAAAAACGAATCATTGTTTCTTTTGACAAACAAATAACGAAATAAAACTTCTTTTTTTTTCTGGTATCCCCAAACATTGTGACACATTGTTTGTGTTATTGACAGGAAAATCAATCATTATGGATGGAAAAACATCATCAGATTGATGGATATGATCACCGTCGAAATTTCTTTAGAAAATCATATGAAATGAAATGAAATAATGGTGACAACGACGGACCGGTTGTTTTACTAAACATACACACTATAGGTCAAGGTAGCTGGCATATTATCTTCGTTTGTTTAGTAGTTTCGTTTATTTATTTTATCCAAATTTTTTTTTCTACTTTGCTTTGCTTTGACAAATTTGCAATCGTCTCTTTCACTTGCTGTTATATATCCAATTGCGTCTCTTGTCTCTTTTGGATTTTTTTCCCATTTCAATACCGTTAAAATGATGAATTTCTGGCTTTCATTCATTCATTCATTCATTAAATGGAATTCAAATCAAGTGCAATGACCGTATCTGAAGGACGAATATTTTGTTTGTTTGTTTTTACACTTTCTTTCTTACGTTCTGTGGATGATGATGATCAATTCCAACAAAATTGGATTTTTTTCTGTTGCTGAAGAGTTTTTTTTTGGTACAAAAATAAATTTAAATAATCAGATTTATGTTTGGTTGTTTGGCTGCTTTTTGAGAATTCGTGTGAATATTGTCGTTGTTTGCCAGTGAGAGATGAATTGGATTTAAATTTAATTACACGTGCGAATGGGAGAAAACAAAAACAAAAAAAACGTAAGTATTAAATGTGGTAACACGAATACTGATTACTGTATAAACGAAAAAGCAAAAAAAGATTGAAAGAAATGTTGTTGTTGTTTTGATGCCCAAAAAGAAATTGACCTACTAAAGAAACATAACGAAATTGAATTCATCATCCTATTATTATCATTATAAGTGTCAAGGTCGATCCAAAAAGAGCTGTAAATAAATGAAAAAAAAACCGCATAACATACAAACACACTTTTTGTTCCATTTTTATTTTTATTTTATTTTTTTTTTTGAATTTCTTCTGTCAATTTTTAGAATGTTCATGAAGACACCACGATGTTGTTGTTGTTGTTGTTGATGATGATGGTTTATCAATCAAAAATCATCAATTAGTCAAAAACAAAAAAAAAAGAAAAAGAATTTCAAATGGAATTTTTCATTGATTGTCCAACATAAGTATTTTATGTACATTTTGTTTTTGTTTATTCGTTTGAATTCATTTCGTTCAACGTTGTTATTGTTTTGAGGAAAATTTTCTTTTCTTTTTTTTGCATCAATTCAAACATTATTATCATGTGATTGAATTTTAGAATAGAATTTTATATCAATTTATAACACACATCATAGATATAAACAACAACATTATATTGAACCAGAAAATTCAAAAATACATGATAATTGTACAATAATGATTTTACTATACCCAAATCAAAATTTGGATTATGATACAAAATAATCTATTGAAAATGATGATCAATAAGCAAAGTGCAACAAACAAAAAAAATTTACTGATAAGATTTGATTTGAAATAAAATCAAATGATTGATTGATTGATTGATTGATCGATTGTAAACAACCCAATCATAATCATCATCATCATCATGATGGTAAATCCTTATTAGGAAATCACCCAGACATTTTTTCATCATGTTTTCAATGCTAAATCCAATGATGGTTCATGCTATTAATGTTTATAGTGTTTACCCAATCGATGAAAAAAGAACATTTGATGACACCATCGATATTGATGATGATATTGGAAGAAAAAAAAATGAAATACATAGAGCAAAAAATAGCACGTAAGAACAAACAAATGAACATTGTCAACAATATTATCCTATGTGTTATCAGTATTTCAATGTTTTTTAGTTTGATCTGGTATATAATACAACATTATCCTTACAAAGAAAAATTTCAATCAAATCTTCATCAGTTTGTCATAATCATCATCATTATATTTTGAAACAAATTTTTACTTTGTTGTTTTTTTTTGAAAAAAAATTTTCTACTTGCTAAGTGGAATCGAAAAGAAAACATGGAAATCGATATTGGTGGATTCGATTATTCAAATCATGCTCATCTTCGTGATGCAAATAATCTTTTGGATAATATTATTGATGATAATGGCTATAAGTTAGTATATTGACCATTTCGATTCTCATTGCTTTGCGATGAAAATAATTAATTTGATTTTTGATCTTTTGATCTTTGTTCTTTGCTTTAGCTATGATACTGTAATGGACATTGGTTGTGGTAGTGGACGTGTAACAAGTTTAATTGATTGTCGTCTTCGATGTGAACAAATTTTAGCTATCGATATCGATATGAAAGCTATAAAATTTGCCGAGAAAAATTATCCATCACCACGTATTCGTTATCAAATATCGGATATATCATTACCATGGGATAAATTAGATCCATTAATACGTAAATATGAAAATCAAGTTGATTTAATTATTTCGAATCGTGTATTACATTGGATTGAAGATAAAAATTATGTTATACAAAATATTTTCCGATTATTAAAACCAGGTGGAATGTGTTATGCTAATATAACAACATTATTAGATTTATTTTCCGATCTAACACAAGATGAACGTGAAAAATTTTCCGAATTAATTATCATTCCAAGTGAAACAGATCAAAAAGAACAATTTAAAAATTTATTTGAAAAAAATCAATTTAAACTACATTGGATTGAATCGCTTCATCTTCAACAACTTTATCCAAAAGATGAATTTCGTTCAAGTTAGTTTGATTTTTAAAAATTCATTTTTTCTAAATTTCTAAATTTTTTCATTTTTTTCCCGCACACACACAGATGTTTTACCATATTTTCCTAATCTAACTAAAAAATATTTGATTGAAAAAGATCCAATCAAACGAAATATGATAATGGCTTCCGGATTAAGTGATTATGTTAAAAATGCATTTCTTCGACTTTATTCGCGCGAAATTATCGAAGCAAATGGTATACCCGATAAATATGAACTGACTTATGGACAGATTAAAATCATTGCACAGAAATGATGATTCTTTCGATATCATATTGTTTGTTATTGATGAACTTTTTTCTATTTAAAAAACAATCATTTTTAATCATTATCTGAAATAAAAAAATATTTATTTTGAAAAAGAAAATTTGAATTTTTTTCAATGAACTAGTGTTTATGAACGATCCAGCCAAATCGTCATGGAAATTTTTTTTTGTGAAGCGGCTATTCTCAATGTTTATAAACACACGTATACGTGTTGATACATTGATAAATTGTGATGATATTTTCATCATTTTTTTTCATTGCATTTTAAATCCTGAACATTTAAACGAAAAACAAAATGACTGAACAAGATACACAAAAAGCTAGTTTATTGGCTCGTGTTAATTTTCCAATCTATTGTGTTAAATCAATTTCGGAACGTCATATTCTAATCGGTGGTGGTGGTGGTATGGCTAAAACTGGAATATCAAATCCATTTGAAATTTATGAATTAACTTATGATCCAATAGCAAATACTGCCCGAGCAACATTAGTGACACATTTTGATGTTGGTAAGTAGAATATGATTGTTTTCATTGATTGGTTATTTATTCGAATTTTTTTTACAGGCGCAAATGCAATTATGAATTTGTGTGTGATTCCAAAATCTAAACATTTATTTGAATTAGCATGTGGTGGAATGCAAGGAATGTGCCATATTTATGATGTTAAATTTAGATTCAAAAATGGTCTGACCACTCATCATTATGATGATCATTACATTGATCAAAATAATTCTTCAAACAATTATCTTCGCCGTAGACATATGAGTTTTAGTTCACAGAATTCTGTTGAAGATGTTGAAGAAAATATTGAAGAATATCATAATCCAAAAGTTGAATTGGATAATAATAAACTCAAAGCAGATAAAGATATTCATCTTGATAATAATCAAGGCGATGATAAAAAAGATTCCGTTCCAAATAACATTCCTGATTATATTTTTGATTTTGATTTGAAAAAAAGTTTTCAAACCGATTTTCATTCGGATGAACCTTATCAAAAATTAGTAAAATATTCTACAAATGCTTATATGGTTTTCAGTGCTGGAGCCGATGGTCATATTGGATTCTGGCAACTTCCCAATTATAAACCTTTGACTAGAATTAAAGCTCATGAAAATGAAATTGATGATATTGATATTCATCCATCTGGCCGGCATTTAGCCAGCGTATCCAGAGATGGTCGTAGTTTAATCTGGAATGTTAATAATTATCAATTGGTAAAATCATTGGAACATAATCAAGTGATACCAAAACCAACCAATAAAGAAAAGGCAGAAATATTTGCCAAAGCAAAATATTTACCACGTTTATGTCGTTATTCAACAGTTGAAGGTGATGAAAATAATGTTCGACTTTTTGTTGCACTAAATAGTCGAGCCAAATTAGATTCATACATATGTAAATGGCTTATACAAAAAGATGAATATTATATGGAAAAAATTATCTCTGCCGGTGATGTTCCACTTTTTGCCATGGCAATCAATGATGATGGAAGATTTTTAGCTGTTGGAAAACAAACCGGTGATATTGATGTATTTATTGCATTTAGTCTTCAACGATGTTATCATTTCAGTCAAGCTCATAATATTTTTATAACTGGTATTGAATTTCTACAAACAACACAAGCATCATTAGAATTAGTTGGTGGTGATGTTGATGCAGCATTAGTATCGGTTTCGGTTGATAATCGAATTGTTTTGCATAAAATTCCCAAACGAGGTAAATTTGATTTGAAAAAACTAATTATTATTGTTATTAATTGTAATCAAATTTTTTTAAAATCTCATTACAGCCACTTTAGGATTTTTTGGATCATTTTTATTCTTTGTTATGTTTATTCTATTTATTTATGTTGTCATGAATTATTTTGATTTATGATTTTTAGTTATTCAAAACAAAAAAAAAATTAATAAATTTTTATTTTTTTTTCTTCTTTAAATTAAATTATGATTGTGTTTTAGTTGTTGTTTTTAATCCTTGTTTTAAATTTTTTTGTAATGTTTTGATATGTCCTTCAAGATTAATTTGATGTCGTAATTTAGCCATAGCTTTTATTCCTTGAATTTGTTGATCCTGTTGTTGTTTTTTTAAATAGTTTAATTAACAAAATATTCTAAGGTGAAACCGTAAAATTACATACCGATTCATTTTCCAATTTACATTGTTCATTATAACGTAATAAAATATCATCCAAATTTGTTTCAATAACCATACCACCGACAATAATTTCATTTAAAATATAATGAATTTTATGCATATTAAATATTAGATCTAATTCACAAACAGCACTAAAACAACGATCCATTGATTCAACAAAAACTTGTATTAAATCTAAAATGGCTAATTCATTTTCACCATTATCAACAATGAATACAATATATAATGTTGCATATTGACGATACATAAGTAATAATTTTTCATCCAATTTTGGTCGATGACAACGAACGTTTGCTACATCGAAACTGCGTGTGTGTGTAAGAGAGAGAGAGAAAAAAAAACAAAACAAAATGAATAAAAAACATTTTTCAATCCTTTTATTTGTTCAACAAAAAAACATTTACATATCAGTTTCAATAAATTGACATTCCGAATAATCACGATAATGTATTAGATCATATGCACAACGTATAATTTCTTTGGTAACATCAGGTGGCTATTTATAATATTTTTTTTTTGTGGGGGGAAAAAATTAAGTTTTAAAACATTTTTTCAGGGTTGTTAATGAAAACTTACATAATTATATTCATAGAATTTAACCAATCTTGCTTTTCCCTGTGTATTGAATATTAATACCGAATGAATCATGATTGATGATTTGTTTTTTTTTATTGTCTGTCAATTTTTTTTTTCGTTTTTCATTTGAAAATAATAATGGATCATATCGAATGGAATTTCATAGTAAATGTTTTTTGTTTTGTTGTCGTATTGATTTGACTATATCTTTCCAATTGTTCATTCACATTCATTGTTTTGTGTTGTTGATAATTCAAGCATTTTTTATGGTTTAACATAAAAAAAAATATTCAATATCTCTATGATAAGTATCAATGTTGAGAAAAAAAAACTCCTACTCATAAATTTTCATCAATATGATTGCCATTATCAAATTGGCTTATCAAATTAAATGTGGATATAGATAAATAAATAAATAAACTCATCATAAATGTATTATTGCCTATCGTGCAATATTATTTTTTTTTTTTTGAAAAATTTACTTTTTCAAAAAATCAAGTATCATCATTTGATCAATGATATAGTCAACAAGAAAAAAAATACACCTGTTGATTCAATATAGGAAATTAATTAAATTAAAAACAATAATAAATAAAAAGTGTAATCAGTAGATTTTGTCAAGTATACAGTATTATGAATGTTGATACAATCGATAATGAAAAAAAAACAATGCTCTACATTTTTTCTTTGATTGAAATTGGATGCAATCCATTAATGTACATGTTACTAATGATACTTAGCAATAAGATAGGTAATTTTATTAAATAGAGTTTCGTTAATTAATATATAAATACGGGATCATTTTCTTAGAATAAAACAGATCATTTGTATTTAACATCTATTGATCAACAACAACAGAAAAAAAATTAATTATCAACAATGAATAAAATTATTTCAATATCGTTTGCATTAATCGTTTTGTTTGGTATTGTATCATCCATTCAGGCTTGTGTTTATGATTCGGATTGTGGAAGTGCTGCCCGTTGTATTAATGGTATGTGTCAAGCAATGTCCGATTGTGTTACCAGTTTAGATTGTCTTAAATATGGTATCTATTATGAATGTTCAGCTGGTCGATGTATACCAAGCAAACATAAAATCTGCCGTAGTGATGCTGATTGTAAAAAGAATCTTATCCATAAACATTGCGTCAATTATCGTTGTACATGAATGAAAAAACTTTTTTTGTTTCACAAATCGCAATGATTAATTATTTTCATTTTATTGAATGAATGAATAAATGAAATAAAAATTTATCTTCTTTTTTTTTGATTTCCATAAAAATTGAACCTTGTTTTATTTATTGTAATTTGAATTATAAATTTAAAATATCATTTAGTCAAACCGAATGTATTCGGATGAAATATTAAAGGTAATTCAAATCAGATATAAACATTTTCACCAAGATTCGTTTGAACAATCAAACTTTGACATTTGATTTCATCTTGAAATCATATATAAATCCAAGTTATAATCTTATTTTTGTTAATCCAAAATTATTGATATAAATAAACTTGATTGTTTACTTAACAATGAACAAAATCATTTCAATATCATTCGCATTTATTGTCTTGTTTGGCATCGTATGTATTCAGGCATGCAAGGATGATAAGGATTGTGCAGCCACTGAACATTGTGTCAATGGCACCTGTGAAAATATATCCAAATGTAATACAACCTTAGATTGTCTCAATTATGGCCTCTATTATGAATGTTCAGCCGGTCATTGTATTCCAAGCGAATATAAAATGTGCTTCAATGATAATGATTGTAGAAGGGAACCCATCAACAAAAAATGCGTTAATTATCAATGTAGATGAATGAATTTTTTTTACAAATCGTAATAATGAATTAATGTGTATTCTATTGACTAAATAATAAAAATAAAAATTTAATTTTTTTTTAATTTCCAAAAAAATAAACTTTGTGTTATTTATTTTATTTTTGATTGATTTTTCTCGAAAAAAAGTAGTATCGAGTATGATTATGATGATTTTATTGAATAAATTCACTGAATATTGTGTCGATGGCACCTGTGAAAATGTAATCATAATTTTTGATAAAATATTAAAGGTAAATTCAAATCGGATAATTAAATCGCTGACATTTTCACCAAGATTTTTTTGGCACAATCAGGAACTTTGGTATTCAATTACATTTTGAAATCATATATAAATCCAAGTTATAATCCCGTTTTTGTCCAATCCAAAATTATTGATATAAATAAACTTGATTGTTTGCATCAACAATGAACAAAATCATTTCAATATTGTTTGCATTTATCATCTTGTTTGATATTGTATCCATTCAGGCTTGTACCGTTGATGCCAATGGCAACTGTAAAAATGAATCCCAATGTAATACCCATTTAGATTGTCAAAATTATGGTATCTATAATGAATGTTTAGCCGGTCAATGTAAGGCAAGCCCTTATAAAATCTGCCGTACTGATGCTGATTGTTATGGTGGACCCGTTGGCATAAAATGCAACAATTATCAATGTAGAGCTTAACGGTTCATTAATGGCTTCAATCGCTTCTACAATAATTTTTTTTTTGTTTTTTGATAATACATTCATGGTATTAGTTGAGAATGATCGGTCCATTTTGCAATAACAAATGTATATAAGGGAATTTTTTTAAAATAAATAAAAATTGAACCTTGTGTCAATTCACTTTATTTTTGATGTTTGATTTTTTATTCTTCTTTTTTTCATTATGATGATCCTAATGTGAATGTTTTCTATTTTTTCAAGGTTAGTATGCAATACCAATTTTCTCACTGAAAATCTCTTCCATATGTATACCGGATTATTGTGGCAATCGAAAACCTTGTTTGCCAAAAAAAAAAAGAAATTTCTTTTTGACAATTATCTTTTGTGACGTAAACAGTGCACACACACGCTAATCACTTTCATTTCTTCAGCAGAAAAAAAATTGATGTTATTTGAAAAAACAATAATGGGGAGATAAATTTATTCTGTAGATATTTATATTTTTAGCCAAAAAAAAAAATTCTTTATAGTCAAAGTATTCAACCAACCAAACTATTCTATCAACTATACCAATCTACACCATATAAATTGTATTACCACCGTTGTTTGGCGTATTTCATCTACCAAAGAAAAAAAATATCATTTTACTGAGCGAAAGTTTTTGTCATTCATTCATTCGAATTCAAATCCCGAAACAGCTTTGATCGACAAACAAACAAACAAACAATGTCCAATTTATATAATCAATCATTCGATTTGATTAATTCAATGAGAGGTGGTTATGCTGCTGGACATTATTATAATGATTCGGCAAAAAATGTACACGATTATGCTGATGGTTGGTATTTAAGACGTGCAAAATTAAATCATGGTGATTTACGTGAAATGTTAATCGATATGACAATGCGTAAAAAACGTTTAGAAGGACAACATGATATTGAATGTACAATGCATCGACCATTACAAACTGGCCTGAATCAAACACCGGATATACAGAAAATTCCACATATTGATTATAAACATAAAAAAGGCAAGTATGAATATTTATATCGAAAACAATTTTAAAAAAATGATGTTTGTAAAATTTATTTGTAATTTCATTTCTAACACAACATGTATCCAATGTTTTATTTTCTTATTATATTTGAATATTATAATTTTAAATATAAATAAATGAATTTTAAACCAATGTTTTATGTTTGTTTTTGTTTCAATGATAATTTTGAAGATGGAACCACAAAAAAACAAATGGCGCAGATGGCATAATCAGATGAAAATTTTTTCCTTCGTTTTTTCATTTTGAAATTGAATATTTGTTTGAAATTCTAAACACCGACAAATAGCAAAGCGTGTTAATAAGTTAAAGAATGTCACTGAAACAAAAAAAGTATGATATTGAAGACAAAAATATTCATACTTGACATATGTAAATTATTATTATTATTGGGAACAAAGCCAAAATTGTATTCATTGAAAACAAAATTCTTAACGTTTCGTTAATCATTTCAAAGTATATAAAAAAAAATACCGAAAGATACAATTGACAACGAATGAATAATTTTATTCATATGTTGTTTTTTTTTACTAATCGATCATAACTTTAAACCGAACAACACTAATCGACGATAATCATCATTAACCCGCAACCAATCTATCGTTTTTTGTTTTTCATTGTCGAAAATGTCTTGCATTAAAATTTGTTCCGGTATTTTATTATTTCTTGCATATCATTTAATATTATTATTGTTGGCATTAATGAATACGGCCGTATGGACAACTGAATTACCTCGGATACAATTATGGCATCATCCAAGCCTTTATGCCGTTGTAAAAGGATTTAATGTATTTTTCGGTACATTTATTATCTGTATTATATTGATTATTTGTTTTAAAATTGGTGATCATATACTTAGTATTGCTAATCTACGTATACGTGCAAATTATAATTTTTATCTATTAATCATTAGTTTTATAATTGTATTTTGTTTTCCAATTATTTATGTTTATATTGCTCGTCATATTGGTACAATGATGATTCAAGAAAAATTAACAAATTTTACATTATTAACATTAATATGTTTTATTGCAATTGATTCAATGATAATATTTGTATTTGCTATATTTTTATTATTAACATCTATAATGTCAACAATGCGTTCATATAATATATTTAGACATTTAGTTAAATTAAGTGAAGATAAAAAACAATTGAAAAAGAAGCAACAAACAAAATCAAATGTTAAGAATAAACGAATTGAACAACTTCGTCGATATCCAGGTCATCATTATGGTGTATATCCTGGACATGGTAGAATACCAGCAAAAGGTGTTTATCAATATCCATTAAAATCGAAAAGAAATTCAAATCAACAACAAACACCTGATCATCGTGTTTATCGTGTTGAATCATCAATGACTCAACGATATGGTTATGGTTATGTAGCTACACCTACATTAACACTTAGTGATCCATCCGGTTCATTTGATGGCTCATTGCAACAACAACAACAACAACAACGATCAAATACAAGTACATCACATCCATTATCCGAAACAGCCGTATATTTAGTATGATGTTAACTTGATAAAGAAAAAGCGACAACAAAATAATTATTATAATCACTGTTAATTCAAATGAATTAATGGCAATGATGATCATCATCAAAAATTGAATGTATCGGATTTTCCGCATGGAAGTTTTCAAAATGACAAATTTACATGGCAATATTTTTTTTGGTTACGGTTCATTGTACTTGCAAAATGATTTTGGCTGAAAAGAAAAAACAATCATAAACACAGATTGAAAATTTTTTTAAAAAAATGGCGGCCAAAATAATAATAATAAAAGCGCATCAATAATAATGTTTGAAAAGATATAAACTAGTTTTTTTATTTCAGTGGCAAATGGTACTACTATTGGTCATTGGTGTTAGAAGGTTAATGTTTATATACGAAATGATTGCATCCACATTCAATCGTTATTAACTGGTTCGGTAAGTTCATCACCGACGGTGAATAATACATCCATCAAATAATTCTTCAAGTGACGATTTACAACAAATCATTCATTCCTTATGAATGAAAATAAAAAACAAAATGCAAACATGTAAAATAATTTCGATATTATTATGTTTATCATCACAATACATTGTCCTGATTGATAATGCACCGATTGTACCGATATTAACAGCATTAGCAGCATCAGCTGCCGGTTTATTTCAAATACAAATTGATACACTTCATATTGCTAAATATATTCGTGATGCTTCGCAACATAAACGAAATCGTGGTGCATTTGTTCGTGATCTATTGTATACTGCTTTCTATCGAAGTGGACAACAATATAATGTTATTGTATTTAATTTAGCCGAAGAACATCAACAAAGATTATATGGTGTAAATTTTTATGGTAGTGTTGCATTTAATGATGGTACACGTTATGGTATATGGGTATTTGAAAATGGTATATTTGAAAATCATGGTGCACGTGGTTGGCATAATTGGGGTATGATTGGTTCATTTAAAAAAAGTAAAGATGGTTCAACTATTTATTTTCATCGAAGACATCGTACATCGACAACAACCATTGCAACGACAATTGATTCGACAACAACAACAACAAAAACATCAACCCAAATGACATCAACAAGCACAACAACAACAACAGTAATTGTACCGGTTATCGATTTAAAAATCGAACACTTACAACAAGTACCTGGTAGTAATAAAATATTTTCCATACAAAATATTGATGAAATTGAATCAAAAATCAATACAACCACTTATACAGAGAATCCATTGAAAATGGAAAATTTACAAAAAATATTTGATGATAAAATATTTCAAGAAAATAATGTTACCGATATAAATGATGGCACATCGGAACCAAATGAAACAAAAATTAGCATCAAAATTGAAGATAGAAGAAAGAAAAATAAATCCAAATCAAAGAAAAAAGCATAATAATTAGATGAAACAATGATTTTGATTGTAAATTATCATTTGATGCGTTGTTAGATTGTTTTTTCTCATTGAATAAAAATTTTTTTTAAAAAAAACTTATGATCAAAGTCGAAAAAAAAGTTTATTTCATAGGAACAAAGAGATAATTTGAATAGCCAAAAAGCTTACAAAATACAAAATTGTTTTTCGAAAGATTTTGCTTCGAAATAATCCACATTGTTCCAAAAATTCCGGATACTTGTCCAAAAAAAAACATTTACAACTTGAGTTTAGTACGACGCCAATGACGACGTTTAGAACTGTAACGAATTTTGTTTCCAGTTTTCATTCGAATCCATTGTGGTACTGGCCGATTTTGTTTCTTTTTTTTCGCCAATACTTTTTTGATACGGAAAGTTTTATGTGCAGCCTATGGAAAAACGAAATTAGATGATAATTAGAATGAATTTATTTAAAAAAATCAATTAATTCTTACCATTTTTTAGCTGAAAAAATTGAAAAACCAACAAAAAAATTTACAAACCAAAAACAATTGTTCAATTCGACTTCAGCCACATGGAAAGGAAAAGGAAAATGTTATTGTCAATGTATACAGCCGCTACAACAAACATGTTGTTGTCGTAAACATTTTTTTTTCAATGGTAGTGGTATATGAATACTGTTTTGAATTGATTGTGTAATAAGGTGAGAAATTCATAAACAATGTTTCAGGAATTTATTTATTTATTAAAAATTCTTTCAATTCCAGAAAAATATCATGGATCCATTTCCAACAATATCAAAAATTGATGCCGAAAAGGTAAGATAACCGTTTTTTGAATTATTTGCTGAAATATCTAATGATAATCGAATATCAACAGGTTGACAAGATGCTCAAAACTAAGGATACGAAACAGGTAATGATAATTTGCTATAATGAATTTAATTTTAAAATTTTTTATTAAAAAAAATTTCAGAACGTTTATGTACAACAACCAGGTTCGAGAATATTCTTTCTCTCCTCACCCGTTAAAGTACAGCAACAAATTCAAAGTAAGAAATAAAACTTGACATTTCCTGTTTATCAAATTCATTTGATTCTTTTTTTCTAATCAAATAGAAATTTTAAAATCAAAATAAAAATAACCATCATCACCAAGTACAAATCGGTTATAATGATGATGACGTTGATTGGGAAAATTTTTTCACTAATTTATCTTTCGTAATGGAAAAAAAAGATTTCTAAATGGCATCAAGATGTATTGTTCAATTGTTGAATGTCAACAACCAATTATAAGATTTAATAATTATGTTTATTTTTTCAATCTTTGATCATTAAATATGCAAAAAACAATAATAATAATAATAATTAAAAGTAAGAAAGAACAGATAATTGATGAGTTTCTAAAACCGAAAAAAAACATTGTTTTCTTTCTTGTGTTTAGAATTCAATGATGATTGTCAAAACATTATTGAAAAATGGATTTGATAATGAACAATACCTGTTTTTGATAAAAAGAGACTGAAATGAAGAAAATTGTAGAAATTTCTACAAAGATAATTATCGATTTATTCGATAATTGCATCACATTATTCAGCTTCAAAAACAATTGACAAAGATCAATCAAAAGCTATATAAAGTCTTGAAAATGAAATTCATTTTTTTTTAAACTTTCAATTTCGTTTTGTGTATTTTTTCTGTGTGATTGTTGATAAACACCAGAAAGAAAAAAGAAAATCATGAAATACGAATATTTTCGAATAAATATTTCATCATTAATATTCATAATTGTTTGTGTGGAATTTGTTCAAATTTGTTATGGTCGTCATTATCCAAAATGTCATCTTATTGAAATGGAAAAATGTTTTGATAAATTACATCAATTAAAAGATTCACAACATGATCCATCATTTTTGTTAACATCACATGAAGGTCTTGATAAAATATGCCGGTAAATAAACTAATTTCTGGAAATTACCCATTTTAATAAATAATAATAAAATTAACTTCTTCTTAAACAAAAAAACAGAGTTTTAAAAGAAGATTTTACTGGTTGTATTTTGGCTTATCTGAAAAAATGTGGTACACCATTACATAAAGAATTAAGTAAAGTTATTTCCGATGCTATCCTCGAACATATGAACATGATTTGTGATTCAAATTCTGAATTTAGAAATGGTAAGTTTTTTTTTGTTTGGTTATCAGTAATTTTTTATTTTATAAAATAAATTTACAAAAAACCTTATCATTTCTTTAGATTTATTGGAAAAATCTCCATGCATCCATGAAAAGATATTATCACAACAAGATTATCAAAAAGAATGTAATAATCCATTTTTTACAACAGTTGCTTGGGGTGAAATGAAAGCACATTCAAAACATCGTGAACGTTCACCAATTGATTATGCATTCGATGCTGGTTGTTGTGCATATCGACAATGGGAACAATGTACAATGCCTAAAATTCGTCAAAATTGTGAAATTGAATCCGAAAATATATTACAAAATGTTATTGGAAAATTATTAGGTGGTGTTACAAATTTTCTTTGCTATCAGGATATATTTAGTCCTGGATCACAAATATGTCAAACATTACCAACATTAGATGAACAAATGTCACAGGTAAACATAACGTATGCTGATCAGCAAAAATTTTCAATATTTTCAGTTGTTAAAATGTTTTTGACCAGAGTGGATGAAAGTAAAAAATGATAATAATTCTAATAAAACAAAAACAAAAAGTGAAATCAAGGTTAAATAAAGATTTTTCAATGAACAAAAATAAATAAAATAAAATTAACATTGAAAATTTTCTGTTTGTTTTATCAAAGTTCTAATCAATTTTTAGATCAATAATAATTAACTTTATTAAAAAAAAAACTTTTTTTACAATTATAATGCTTAATTTGCGTGCATTCATGGTACAAATTCATTCAACCATTTGAAAAGTTTTTTTCCCCTTTTCCTTTTTTTTTGTATATCCAAAAATCAAATATCAAAGTTTCAAAAACAAAAAATCAATCAATCAATCAATCAATCAATCGAATGTCGTTGTTGCTGATAAGTTCAATATTCTTTCAATTTATTCAACAAATGGATTCTTGTTCTTCTGATTCTTATTCTCGATCGTTTTTGTGTGTTTCAAATATAATCTCGTTACGAATAGATCCTATTAACCGCGGTGATATGGCAGAAAGATAACCATATATAGTTTTTTGCTATATTTTTTTCCATCATCAACAACTATATCATTGTCCATTTAAACAAGAAATGTATATACCACACACAAACAACCAAGCGAAAAAGAGCCAAAATCATATAGCTAATTTTTTTCCTGAGAGAAGAAGAGGAAGAAGGGAAAATCGAGACAAGCCAAGCCAAGTTGTACCGAACCGATGCATGCACCACACCACACATAAACAGGCATTAAAAAAAAAGATATCTGCCATCTGCCAGATCATTTTTCTGATTTCAATTCAATGAATTGACTCAAAGTTTTCTCGTTTTTTTTCTCTCTCGCACTTTTGCTTTGTTGTTGTTGTAACATTAAAAAAAAAATAATCTCAATTTTTTTTTTTGGTTGTTGTCGTCGTAGTTTGTTGAATAGTTTTGGGTATTTTTTTTCATTGCCACAATTCATTCATCAACAAAAATAAATCATCGAATAAATCGATGTTTACTGATCTTGATCATCATCGTCAACCATCAACCATTTTTTTATTTGCAAACTGGCAACGATAATCAATCATTTTTACTGTTGTTGTTGTTGTTGTTATTGTCGATTCATTTGATCGGGTTTTTTTCTTTCTTTCTCTCCTTTTCTCTCTCTTTATCGTTTTTTATTGTTTTGTTTTCATTATTTCTTTGTTATACACAAAAACAATTTGTTGTTTTTTTTACACAAACATTTGAACCAAACAAAGATGTATTTGTTATTGTGAGTTTTTTTTTTATTTTTGTTGAATATTTTTTGATCAAATCCGTCATCATCAACATAATCATCGTCATCATCTTTCAATTGATTGATTTATTTGATTTGAAATTGCCTTAAATTTTCAATATTTTCAATATTCTTTCGAGTTTTGTTGTTGGTTATTCTGGCTAAATAAAATCATGTCGTTGACTAAACTTGAACGTGATAAACAAAAATTAGTTCAGGATAAATGTCAACAAATATTAACTGAATTATTACGTGATGAAGATAATAAATATTGTGTTGATTGTGATTCGAAAGGTAATGTTTTTTTGGTTTTGTTTTGAAAATTCTGCTCAATTACTCAATTAATTGTTTCAAAATAAAGGACCACGATGGGCATCATGGAATTTAGGAATATTTCTTTGTATTCGTTGTGCTGGTATACATCGAAATCTAGGTGTACATATTTCAAAAGTAAAATCAGTTAATCTTGATTCATGGACACCAGAACAAGTTGGTTCAATACAAAATATGGGAAATAGTAAAGCAAGAGCTGTTTATGAAGCAAATTTACCTGATAATTTTCGTCGTCCACAAGCGGATACTGCCTTGGAATCATTTATACGTGCAAAATATGAACATAAAAAATATATTGCTAAAGAATGGGTAGAAACACCACCAAAACCAGCGGTAGGTGTTTTATTATTAAACAAACATTTAAAAAAGATTCATTAATTTTTTTTCGTTTCAATTAATTGATTGTTTTTTTCATCCATTAACCAGTTTGATGTTGAAACCGAACTAAAAAAAGAGAAAGAAAAGAAAAAGAATAAAATAATTAAACCGATTGTACCGTTGAATGGTCAAATTGAAATTCAAGTAAATTGCTTGTTCGGATTTTTTAAATTGCCAATTTTGTTTAATCTAATTTTTTTTTCTGGTTATATTTCGGGTAAATAGTCGAATCCGATTCCACGTCCTACGCTAAATTCGAATGGTAAAATTGAAAGTAAAGTATCGAATACAACACAGCAGCAGCAGCAACAACAAAAATCTGAATCAAATCAAACATTGTCATCAGCATCTGCAGATTTATTAAGTTTGGATTTAGGCTCAACTAATACGAATAACAGCAACAATAATAATGAAGCTTTTGGTTTTTTTGCTTCGGCATCCGATAATACAAAATTGTCAACAAAATCAAATGACAATAATCAATCATCATCATCGTCGAATAGTGGTCAATCAACAACAACAACAACGGTAAACAAAACATTAGATGATGAGGAAAAAGATTTTTTCAATCAAAAAACTACAACAATCGATGATAATAATAAAGATGTGAAAAAATTGACAAAAGAATCGATATTATCATTGTATTCAAAAACACCGAACAATTTATTGAATGGAATTGGATATAGTAATAGTGGTACTAGTTCAACATCATCAACAATATCTAATCCTCAATTTTCAAGTATAAATCCATTATTTAATCCTGTTGCTGCTTCTAATCACCATAATCAGGTAAATGAAAAAAAATAATTTTTTCCCCTTGTAAATTTATTTTTTTTCCCGAACAAAAAAAAATTAGGCCAATTTGATTCCACAACCGTCAGCATCGACAAATCCATTTTTGGCCAACAACAACAATAATAATAATCCGTTGACAATGATGAATACTGGCGATTTTTCACAACAGCAATCAATGATTCAAGTAAATTCATTCGAATCTTTAAGCTTATTTTTTTTCACATATGAAAATTTTCCTTTTCCAGGGACTTTCTTCATTGAATCTACAACCATCATCGACAACAACGACAAATGCGACCAATCAAATGCCAATGATGATGGGCAATCAGCAAATAATGAATTGGTTTAATACTGGTAGCAGTACAGCAATACCAAACAATAATAATAATAATCCAATTGGATTATTATCATCAACAAATTCGTCATCAACAATGGCTGCAAATCCTTTTATCGGAGATCAATTAATGATGAACAAGAATCCAATTTTAATTCCACAACAATTAAAATTGAATGGCAATACAACAACAACAACAAATAACATTGGTAGTGTGGACCAATCAATCATTGATAATAGCAAAAAGAATGATTTAAATAATTTGAATTTTTGGTGATATTTATTATTATTATTATTATTATTATTTAATTAATCAATTAATTAATCAATTTGGATATGAAATGAAATGAAATGTTTTTTTTAGGGATCATCGTGAAAAGCAAAAGGCAAAAATCAACCGATTTGTTTGTATAATAATATAATTTTAATTAACATTTGAATTACCAAGTAAAAAAACTTTTTCAAAAATTGATTAAACCAAACCTCTTATTTCGAGAAGATTCTTTTGTATATTTTTTTTGTTTGTTTTTTTGCTTTCCAAAAATAAAAATTCGTCACCATGGTAATCTGGCTAATGTTTTTTGGTTTTGCTTTTTGTTTTGTTTTTTGTTTCGTTTCACTTGTTTTGTTTCATTTGATTTTCTTGATTAAATTTCATTCGATTTCATATGTAATATTTTATTTCTGTGAAAACAAACAAAAAAAATGGTTGCAGGAAATTCTCAACAAATTTTAATCGATTATTCAAAACGACCAGATGAACAACAAAATATCGGTTCGAATGATGTTAAATTCATTATAAAAAGATTAAAATTAAAAGGATGGAAAATAACCATGTAAATTTGATTGCATTTTTTTGTAATTTTTGTAATGATTTTTTTCGTTTTTTTCCCCTGAAGAAACAAAGAAAGCCTAACCGAAGATCTAATCAATAAACATCGGATTTTAATATTGTTTATGCCACAATTGAAATTTGCCGATTTTGAATTTCAAGCATTGAAACAATATTTGGAAAGTGGTGATGGTAAAATTCTTGTATTACTAGAAGAAGGAGGTGAAAGAAAATCATCAAGTAATATTAATTATTTTATTGAAGAATATGGTACTTCAGTTAATAATGGTAATCCATGGAATGTGAATTTATAATTTTATTATAAAGTTAAAATTAACAAATAATTAATTAATTTAGATAAAGTAATACGAACATCGTTTTATAAATATTATAATCCAAAAGAAGTATTGATACAGGATGGTATTATTAATCGTTCATTGATTAATCATGCATCACAAACAAATTTGATTCAATCACAAAATAATAATAATGGTGGTGGTGGTGGTTTATCATATTTATATCCATTTGGTGCTACATTGAATGTAGCTAAACCATCATTACCAGTTTTATCTACAGGTAAAACATCATTTCCACCATGTCGTCCTACATGTTCATTTTATGAACATGAAACTAATAATGATGGAGGAAGAATGATTATTTTTGGTTCTGGACATGGATTCATTGATAAATATATTAACAAAGAACAAAATGTTAATTTATTTGATCTATTTTTAGATTATTTACAAGATAAACAATTCAAACCAAATATGATTGATGCATTAAATCCGGAAATTAATGATTATCATGTTGTACCGGATTTAGAATTATTATGTAATGATCCAATGTTATATTTGGAAGAAAGTGAAGAATTACCAATCGATTATTCAACATTATTTTCAAGAAAAATTAAAAAAATTTCCAATCTTTCATTAGCACATATAAATCAAACATTCAATGAATTACAGATTGAAAAACGAACATTACAAGTGATTAAACCACATTTTGAAACACCATTACCAGGTTTACAACCAGCCGTTTATATGCCTGTATTTCGTGCACATACAAAACCAGAATTAGAATTATTCGATTTGGATAATGAATTTGCATCGGTACAAAGTAAATTGGCAAAATTAGCCAATAAATGTAATAATAATGATATTGATTATTTTATCTGTGAATCTGGCTTGATCGTTGGATTAGATATGGCAAATTTGAAAGAGAAAAATATTTGCAAACATATCCTGTATATGGTTGCCAGTAAAATTGTTTCATTCAAAAAAATTAATAATGATTAATTTTAGTTAGTAAATTTATTTATTTATTTGAAAAAAAGATAGCTATTATGATTATGATGATTATTATAATGATGATGATGATAATTTTTTTAAAGATTAAATATTTGAATTTTATAAAATTTATTCGGGCTGTATATTTTCATTGAAACCATCAGTTTCATTGACCAATGCACGTTCAAGTATAACTTTACCCTCTTTATATCGTTGATTATCTTCGGTTGCAAATTCATATATCCATCCTAATTTTGTATCACAATTTTTACATGATACATCACGAACCATATGTCGTCCAGTTAACATAACACGATCTTGTACTTCACTATTATAATTAAAGAATTAAATTTAAATAAAAACGAATTTTGATTTTCGATTTCAGCAACAAAAAAAAAATCACTTACCTATAGCTTAAATTGACAACATTATTGAATAAAAATGCCCGGCCAGTTGCTCCAGTAAATCTGGTACTTAATAATTGTGTTCGATTTGTTAATGGTGTTTCACAACTAGCACAAACATATAAACGTTGGCCACCAATATGTTTTAAAAATACTCTTCCCATTATTCTTGTTTTATACTATTCGAATTTGTAAATGTTTTTTCTTTTAAATAAATCAAATTCGAAAATGTAGAAAGAAGATTTGAAGAAAATTTTGATAAATTGAAATTTCGATAACTCGATTTGGAGAAAAAATTACACAATGAACAATTTGTTTTTTTTTTTTTGTTTTTTGCTCAGGTGACAAACACACTGCGTCGATAACAACAATCATTTTTGATGAAAGAGAAAAAAGCATTGCGCAAGCGTCATTCGAATTTTTGAGAAATTAATTTTTTGATGAAAAATTTTTCAAATTTTTTTTTTTTTGGTTGTTGAATAAATTATGAAAAGTTGGACAAAGTAATTTTCATTTTTTTCCCTCAAACAGTAGGAGATAATTGTCCATCGGTTAATGTTGTTATATCGGACATTATTATATCGAATTCATAAGCAAATTCTTTGGTTGAATGTCGGAACATTTTTTCATTTATTTGATTCATTTCTTGTAATTGTTTAATTGCCCATTCGTCTGTCATTGAATCATCAACATTTGAAATGTTTTTGCTATTACATTGTTTTACTTTTTCTTTTATTTCATTATCAATGTTAAGAATATTTTGTATTTTTTGTCGAAATATTTGTTCATATGGCCGTATTATATTTTTTTGTTTATCATGAGATTTTTTCTCTTTTCGATGGATTGGTAATGATGATTGTGAATTAATAAATCCATTTCCTTTCGATGAATATGTTGATGAAAAATTAATTGATTCGATATGATTTGTTAATGATGAACAACTAACAGGTGTTTCAGGAATTTCTGAAAGAAATTTAGTTAAATCTTCAGTTGAATCAGATAATTTTTTCCCACTCGATTTTTGCTCATCAGTTGAAATTGATGATAATTTTGTGTTTGTATTCAGGATAGGTTGTTCATATACTTTTATTTCATCGATTGGAATTCTTCTTGTTGATGTTTTGAAAAATTTTCTTGGTTTTTCATTTTGATTATTTTCAATCTTTTTCTTTATATCTGTATTATTAATTATTGAATTCTTTAATGGTGATCTTCGTTCATTTGTTAAGCTATTCCCACTATGTAGTTGTTGTAATATTTGTGTACAATAATCATCAGCATCCAAATCATTAATCAATTCATCGACATCAATTTTTGATGATTTTTTTTCCTGATACGATGATGAAACATTGGCACTTCTATAAGGTTGATTATTATGTTTGATCGGGTTCATTATTATTATTATGAGTATTCAAAGGATTTCTCGAAATTAAAGAAAAACAAACGAAAAAACAAGAATTCCACAACAAAATGTCAATCGAAAAACACAAACATGTGAAACATGTTCGATTGAATAGTTTCAATTTTGGAACACATTTTCGTTCATATTCGCGCACTCTTGTTCATACACGACAAGTAATTTTTTTTTTTTTGGCTTGAAAAACAATTTCATTTTGGAAAATTTTTTGTTATTGTTGTCCATTTTTTTTTTGTTTTGTTTTTTTTGAATTTCATAAAATTTCATCATTTTTTCAACAACAAACAAAATATTGACAACATTTAACAATGGAAATGTTTGATTTGAAAAAGATTAATCTTTATGAATTATTTGATCTTTCAAAAGAATGTACCGAAACAGAAATTCGTAAAGCTTATCGTAAAAAAGCCTTAATACATCATCCGGATAAAAATCCAGATAATCCAAAAGCAAATGAAATATTTCAACGTTTATCCAAAGCTTTAGAAATATTGACAGATGAAAAAGCAAGAGCTTCTTATGATAAAATTTTACAAGCTAAATTTGATCGTCAAATACGTGATAGAAAACTTGATGCTAAACGAAAAAAATTCAAAGAAGATTTGGAACAAAAAGAAAAATTTGTCGAACAAGTATCGATTATCGAAGAAGAGGAACGATTAAAACGTGAAATTGAACGTATCCGTAAAGAAGGGTAAATTTTTTTGATGATGAATTTTCTTAAATAATTTTAATTTTAAATATTCATTTCCCATGCATAGATCGAAACAATTGGAAGAGGAAAACGAATTGTTAAAGAAAAAATTAAATGAAAGTCTAAATCAGACAAAATCAACGATACGAGGCAATAATGTTGTTAAAGTTAAACTTAAAAAACGTTCCAAAGATTTAAATATAATTACCGATGAATTGATTCGAAAAAATTTTACACAATTTGGATCAATATTATCGATTGTAATGGTAAAAAAATCAGCATTAATCGAATATGAACATTATGATTCAATGAAAAGGATTGCAGCAAATTGTCCGAAAGGATTTGAATTTGAAATATTAAATGTTAATCGTGATTCATCGGCAGAAGTGTCCACAACAGAAAACTCCATCAACCACAACAACAACAACAACAACAACAATAATCATACTGATAATTCAAAAGTACCGCAAGAAACCGCTTTGCCTACTGTTGCTAAATGTGATGATAATGATTATGAAGAATATATTCTTAAACGATTACAAGAAGCTGAACAAAATAAACGAAAACAAAATACGGAAGAAGTTTGATTGCATTCGATTGATTTATTCATCAAATTATCAAATTTAAATAATAAAAAAAACATAATCAAATCCATAAATCTCACATGAAATCATCGGAATCGTAACCAGTCTGTGAATAAGTTTAAAAAAACGGTTGAAAATTAAATGAAACGGTTGCAGAAAAACAAAACAAACCTCATTAGTTGACATATTTTCCGTTTTCATAACATAATCATAACTACGAAGTTTGGCAGCTTCTTCACGACGTTTGGCTTCTTCTTTTTCTTTTAATCGTATTTCTCGTTGAATATCTTTTTCTTTGTTTCGTTCTTTACGATCTCTTTCTTCACGTTGTTGTCGAAGATCAACATTATTTTTGATCACCTTTTCATGATTTTTTTCAAATATAATCAATTAATTGTATTTAATAGTATTAAAATAAAATTTATTTTTTTTGGACAAACCTTTGTTTTGTTTAGCCTATTAACAATATCATTGATTCGTTTTTCAACAACAATCGATCTAACTTGTTTATGATCATGATAACCAACTTGACCAACTTCCATATCAGCAGTTTTTTTTAAATTTGTCCATAATGTATAAACAATATTTAAATTGCTCATTTTATTTCCTTTTATACTATTTGCTTTGACCAATTGAGCACAATCATCCAAAACTGTTGATGGAATATCATCCAATGTTTCACCCGTTTTTAAACGTAAATAAACATGTGCAGATGATTCTTTATCCACATGAAACCAAACATCTTCAGGCCATGCCCATTTAAGTAATTCTTCATCTTTTTTTTTAAAGTTTAGATTTTTTGATGTTGAAAACAAATGAATTACATTTCCAGAAAAAAATGTACTTACTTTCGAATTTATCGTTGCCCATATAAATTAAATAGGGAGGCGAAACAACTAGAAAAACAAAATAAACAATATATCCATTTTCTTTGAAAATATCAATTATCTTTGAAAAATTACCGTCGCTTGTAAAATATAAAACCATTTTTTCGAAAAAGTTGATTTTTTTTTGTTTTTTTTCTGCCAAAAAAAAATCATACCATCCACGCGCATACAAAATTCTGACCAATTCTGACAGATGGCGACAAAAAACTATTCCGTACTTTTTGAAGTGATAATTAAATGCGTCACACAAATTTTATTTTTTGGCGCTCGAAATGAATCAACGTTTTTAATAAAAATTTTCTTTTAGAAATTTAAAGTGTCAAACAACAAACAAAATGTCTTTTTTGTTTGAAAGTCCAGTGAAAACTGTCGAAGAACTTTCAACGCTAAAATATTATCCAATATTCGATAAACGTTGGTCAAGTACAGTGAAAACGATTGAAAAAAATAAAGATAATTCAGTTGCTGGTGGTGGTAAAATTAAACGACCACGTTCGACTGGTAAAATAAATCGTAAACCATATGGTGGAAGAAAAAAGCTATTCGATTCCAGTGAACAATATGTATTGGATTTTGGTCAGAAAAATTTCGATGCTAAACGTTGTTTAACCTGTAATATGCTTTATACGGTTGGTGAAATTATCGATGAAAAAACACATCAAGAATATCATGATATGTTTGTTAATAGTCTAAAATATCGTGATTGGAAAAATGAAGAAGTTGTCAATATTTTTGATGATGGTCGAATATTGCGTGTATTACCTTCTTCACCGTATTATATGCATAAAAAATTGGATGAATTGTTCAAAATTGCCGATATCGAATTAGGTATCAATGTTGATTTGAAATCATCAATGAAATCAACATCACAATTTTTCATATTCATTTCACTGCCATCAAAACGTATTACAGGATTTGTATCCGCTGAACGTATTAATAGTGCTAATAAATTATTAACTGAAAATCCATTAATGGCCAGTACTGATGAATATCCAGCCGAATGTGGTGTATCACGAATATGGACACATCCAAATTTTCGTCGAAAACGAATCGCCACACGTTTGTTGGATACATTAAGAAATGTATTTTATAATAATCGTATTATACCATTAAATCGATTAGCATTTTCCGATCCAACAGTGATTGGTAAAGATTTTGCCAAATCATATACGAAAAATAATCAATTTTTAATCTATCTATATCGACATATAATTGAAAAAGATACTAGCCATTCCAAATTGATTGATAAAAATTGATGATCAATTGTCGTCATCATTCTTTTTTATTATCAACTAATGCCATTACCATTGATGTTGATAAAATATCTGTGTTCAATTTACTGTTTTTTTCCTTTTTTTCTTAAATAAATCTTTCATGTTTCAAAAGTTTTGCTCACACTTCGACTATTTCGAATCAAGTGGAAATAGAATGAATAAATAAAAATTATGCAAACAACGCAGTTGCAGCTGTAGCACTTATTTTTATTTTGTAAATATTGAGTATCTTGATTTTGGGATATAGATTCCATAAATTTTCGTTTGTTTTTTTTTGTTGAAATCAAATTTTTCATTAACGGATTAGGAAAAAAAATCACCAAATACGTCTTAATTTTCAATTTCGGTAAGAAATTCTTTAAAAAAAATGTTTTACACAAACACTGGCCTATTTTTGTGATGATTCTATTTTGGTGCTAAAGATATGTTTACAGTAATTTATAATTATAATTTTATTAGCGTTAATTGATATTTGCCATGGAAATCGAATATAATTGTTAAAATTGTTTTTTATATTTTATCATTTTAGAGTTTCTCGACTGTTCAGTAACACAAAGATGTTCTTTTTGTAAACATTGTTTCTTGTGTTTGTGTTAGTTTTTCATTAAAATTTGAATAATCCTCTAAAATGTACAAGAAAGATATTGATTCTTTGCTGAATAAAGGTAAACATTATGTTTGTCTTTATGTCACTGCTGGTTGTTATGATCAAGATACATCTGCTACGAATTCATTGGATGAACAACGTTTGTTGGAAAAACACATTCAAGATCATGATCATCGACGTATCAATCAAGTGATTGATTATTTGTTTGATTTTCGACAAAACTATACACCTGAAGAGCTTATCGAATGGGTTAAATATTTAATTTGTGGTCGTCGTTTGCCTGTTAATTTTGCAAAGGATGGTAAGCTCATTGTTAATGAACTTCTTTCTTCTGAATACTAATTTCGTTATTTATTAAAGTAAAACATTATGATAAAACATCTAAATGTACTTCGGTTTGGACAAATGATTTTGTTGCCTATCGTTGTCGTACTTGTGCAATTTCTTTATGTATGTCATTATGTGCTGATTGTTTTTTGAATGGCGATCATAAAGGACATGATTTCAATATGTTTCGTTCAAAAGCTGGTGGTGCTTGTGATTGTGGTGATTCATTTGTTTTAAAACCTGAAGGATTTTGTCGTAAACATCAGCCACGTAATTCAGATTTAGACATACAAAAAAATACGAAAAATATCCCACCAAATAGTCTTCTTTGTATTGCTAATGAAATTGTTCCACGTTTACTTCATTATCTTTTGCTTTATCTTCGTGGAAATAATTTTACAAGTATGTTAAAATTAGAATACAATTTTTCTTTCGATTTTAATTCTTATTAATCACTCTTTTTTTTCTAGATAATAAAAAAGCCAACGCATTAATTAATGACATTTTTATTTATTTGTGTGATCTCGGAACTCTAATGCAAACTATAATATACAATTCATTGACCGATCCAAATTCGTATAACTCTTGTCTCAAATGTAAGATATTGGTTATAACATTTTTTTTGTTGTTGTTGAAATTAATCGATTTTTTTCCTTAGTGAATAAAGAAGATGATCTAGATTACCAACATTATTTGAAAACATTATCGAAAAATTATCGAAAAGCCGTTCAGGAATTGGAATTATCATCAATATTTCCTGATTTAAGCGATTTAGAAATTTCTGATCTTAAAATATCTGATCAAATTGAATCCTTCAAAGCAGACTTAAAACATCAAACATATTTGGATGAGATAATTTTTTGGACAATATACTATGAATTTCCTACTAATTTAATAACTTTTCTATTGAAAATGTTACCACATGATGATTATAAGGCACATTTTGCCGAATGTTTTGTCAAACATTATTTTCGTATTTCTATGCTCATATTACATCCGATCCAAAGGTTTAACGGCATGAATGATAAAGATATTTATCATAATAAATTGGCTAACGCTATCGTACACATCAGCGTACAACTTTTCAGTAATGAAAATTTAGCTCGAGAATTATGTGAAAAATTTCATCTACTTTACATCATAATATTGTCATTTAAATTTGCAATATGTGGTGATGGTAAAAATTTTTGGGGAATACTTAAAGTAAATTCTGAATTGGGATTTGATCATGGCAATTATATAATCGAAGACAAAGGACCTATTGTTCATCATGTAGTTAGCTGTGATCATCCTATTCTTCGCTATCATCGGTTTTGGCCATTGAATAGTGATCTTAATAATCTATTTACTCATAAACAGATTGCTCATATGTTTCTCAACGATAACGACCTCATTGATGTTTGGCTTGAATTTATTATGGCATTTCAAGCAATGAATATGAATCTCAAATCAACAAAAGCAGATGATACCAATCAAAATTATAAACGTTCATTTTCAGCCGAAGTTGAGATTGCATCATCACAAATGTGGACATTAATTTCACAATTAAATGATAAAGAATCATTACCATTGACTATCAATTTTGTACAACGTGCTATGAAATGGCTTAGAAAATGGCTCTATCTGATTTCGTTTGATATTAATTTGATCGATACAGATCGATGTACATTTCATTTGCCTCTTCATCGTTATTATTCTGTGTTTCTTAATCATGCTGTTGCTAATCAGGATGCTAACCTTAACGAGTTATTACCTACTGATGGTGAAGAACTTAAAAATTTTCTGGCCCATCCACTTCAAACACTTATTGCTTCTTATCATATTATGTCTAACATGTGGTTCAGTTTTGGTCCTCACATCAAAACACAAGCCTTAAACTATATGCATTCTCAATTCTGCAATTCAAAAATCGATGCCGATTTGTTTCTTGTACAACAGATTGCTGCAAAACTTGATCCAGAAGAATTTGTCGAAATGTTTTTCCGTATATATGGTCTAAATGAACATCTAAATCTAACACCTTTACCCGAAAATGAAATTGACAAAAATCGTTTAGTCACTTTTCTTGAAAATGGTTTCGGTCTATTTGCTACTATACTTGGTGTTCAGTTAAATCTTGGTCTTTCTACAAATGATGTTACACGCAAAGAAATGGTCGCTATATTATCTGTTTCGGATAAAAAACATTCACAAATTCAAGATATGATGCCTCGTCGTTGGGGTATGTTACAGAATAATGGTTTCATTGAAATTCTACATGATATTGCCGAATACAAATCACCAGAAGTTGAAGTTAGTGGTAGTCTTGTTCAAGGTTACTTTTATCCAAAAAATGAAGTATGGCAGAATGAATACGATCCTTTGTTTGTTCTATATCGTAATGCATTACGACGAGAATTTCAGGCATCATTGGAGCGTTTTGCCGTTTATGCTAAACATTCAAATAAATATGAATCGAATAGTCTTCCATGGCCTCCATTTCGTATACCACCACCGATCAATGAAAGATTTATCGATCCTCGCATAATATTGAAAAGTAAAACATTACATGCATATTTTTTTGCAATACTTTATCGGTCTTTAAACGATACAGTTTCTATTACACAACATTTAATGTCGATTGTTATACATCTTATTGAATTGACAATAATTGAATCAATGAAATCAGATACCGATCTGTGCCTGTCTGATTTAGAAAAACCAGAAAATAAAATCATCAAATATGTCAATGAATTTGAATTTAATTCGTGGTATAAATCAGCAGATATATTTAGCAATTTCATCACAATTATACGAAAATCTGAATTATCATTGACAAGAAATAGTGATCAAATTAAAACTAAAGTTATAGCATCATTATTCAGTCTATTGATGCCTGATGATCAACTTAATCCATTCAGTCATTTAGAAGAATTTGATAATAGTCCAATCATAGCAATTGATAATGAAAATGATGATGATGAAAATGTAATCAATGTAAATGAATCCGAAAATGAACCTGGTGATGTTAATTTTGATTCTGGTGTTTCACGAGACGATTCATTTGCTAGCAATTCTACCGCTGATCCAAATGTAATTGTTCAAATCAATCCATTAAGTATTGCTCCTATGTTATCGTTTTATATTGATGGTGAAGAAATACCTGATGTAATTATTCGTGAGGCAAAACATTTGAATAAATTAATGAATAATAATAACATACAAAACGCAACAACCACAACCGCCGATAGTGCTGATGAAATAAGTTCGAATGATTCATCACAGCCATCAAGTTTGGATGATTCTTCAAATCTCAAGCCTTCAACCAGTTCGAAACCATTACCCACAGAAAAACGATTGGTTATTCGAACAAAACCTTTTAAGTTTAAATTGGATGTGAATGAATCGATTTTGACATTGTTGCTACGATTACATTCAAAACTAAGCGAAAAAAGAGATTCATTCAAAACCGATGAACAAAGTTTAATGAAATATGATCTTAATTCACGTATTGGTGATGGTCCATATTTTATCGGTTGTCTATTGAAACGTTTTATTTATTCTTGTGCAGAGCGTCTAGAATCACGACATTCTTTACCATCGGGTTCGTGTTTGAATAAAGTCATAGAATTTGTAGACCGTACTAGATGTTCAATCTGGCCAATGATTAATAAAACAGCTTCACCGATTCCTACAACAAGTGTAAATGACGATGTGATCACTCCTATGGATATTGATCTGGATGAATTACAACGTTCAGAAAAGAAACGTAAAGCTTTAGAACGAAAAAAACAAATAATGAGTAAATTCTGTTTACTTCAAAATGAATTTATCAAAAATAATAAAAGTACGTTCGAAAAATTTGATGCAGAGGAATCAGAACATGAAAGTTCGTTTTCATCTAATACTACTGCAGGATCTAACAATCCAGGTACAGAAAATGATCAATCAGGAAATTCTGATTCTTCGGACAATAATTCTTCAACGATAAAATATCAACCTAAAACTTATCAATGTGTAATCTGTATGGATACTGGAGCATCAATTCTTGAACGACCATTTGTTCAAATGGTTCTTCTTCAATCATCATCAATATTGAATAATACTTTTGCCTATACATTAGCCGATGAATTCAAAAGCAATCCTTGCCTTTCCGATATTATCGAAAAATTTACAACAATCCCAACGAATGTTGAAGATTATTGTATATTTAAAGAGCGGAAAACTTTTGCTCATTATTTCGAACATAAAGTTGATCGTTTATTTCCTTCGTTCGCATTAGATTCCTGGCTAAGCTCTTTTAATATTGGTTGGTGTGGAGGTGTACATGCTCAATCTTGTGGTCATTTTATGCACATGGATTGTTATCAATCATATATTTCATCCGTCTATCAGGATAGAGATAGTAAGTGAATTTTTTTTTAAATCTGTCACATATCATTTCCAACAAAAAAAGTTACACTTTTTTTCACCTATTTTTTTAGGCAATGATCTGATTGAATATCCATGTCCATTGTGTCGTAAGATAGCGAATTCAGTCCTTCCTATTATTCCCAATTTGCCAAATTTCCCACTAGTACAATCACGTAAAAATGATGATCCAAATGGTGTTGCGGTCGAAATTCTTAATTTATTGTCCAATTGTGATCAAGCTCGATTAGCAAATACTACCGAAGATGATTCAAAATTTTTAAAAGTTTTAGCCATGGCAATCGAAGATGTAATGAAAGCCACCGAACCACAATATCGTAATATTCGTGTAGATCCTTGTCCACAATCATTATTTCTATTTTTATCATCTATTTCTCGTACTAATCTTGAATATAATATCGTTTTGTGGCGTAAATCTCTTCCTTTAAACCAAAATGCTTCATGTCTTGGTATGTCATATCTGTAGTCATATTGTATTTTAACATTTTTTTAAAAAATTCTTTGTCGAAAATTTCAGTGCCTCTATTTCATGCATTATCTTTGAATGCAAAATTAGTATTACCCATGTACTATATGAAATTATGGGCTCAAATCACTGGCGTTGATGCTGATGAAATCGGATCACATTTATTGCCATATGAAAAACAAGTTCCTTTATTGATCAAAGATGTTTCAGCCATCTTATTACAATTTCTTTATGCATTACCATTCAACATTGACAAAGGTAATGATTGTTATGAATCTAAGCTACAAGAGAATGAATTCGGTTCCTTTTTATTTAGCCTATTTTCTATCAATCGTAAAAGCATTATTAAATTTAAATTTCATACAAGCAATCGTCATGATGACCTTTCTCTTTACACCGGATGAAAAGCTAGCAATGAAGATTCGTTTCGAAACAAAAAATAACGGTGAATTTAACAGTTATCTTGATTATGTTGGTTTTATTGTTAACAGCTTCGAAGCGTCTATTTTGAATTCCAGCATCATTGGAATAGTAAGTCGTATTTTTGTTGAATTTTTTTTAAATTTCAATTTTACAAATTTTAATTCTTAAGGATAATCGTAAACCAATTTCTAAGCGATCGATTCTTGAATCGTTGTCCAAAGTTTGTTTACCATTTTTGCGTTTAGCTGCTATGATATTTCATTTGCTATTCAATCAAACAACACTTCCTGAAATTGATAATCAACAAATTTTAGATGAATTTACTACGTTAGCCGATTATCTTTGTTTAAATTCATCGTCTTTAGATACATCAAAGTCAAAATCAAAATCGCTAGTCGACGATGAAGATTATGAAACATTTTTTAAAGCTTATATAAATTGGATGTGTAATCCATCCAGTTTGATCACTACTTGGTATAGCGAATTCGACAAATTGATTCAAACAAATCCTATGGCAGCTTCGGTAATAATAAATTATCATAAACAAATGATAAATTAATGTAACAAATTCATTTTCATTGTATACAGAGCTTAATACAGGAAAATTGTGTTATATCATCACAACCAAAACTTTTACGTTTGCCAAAAATGTATGAAGAATTATTTATGTTCTATCATAAACGTCCATGTGAAACATGCAATAATATACCGAAAGATCCTTCACTTTGTCTGATTTGTGGTCAAATAATTTGTATGCGTGAACCATGTTGTCGTAATGGAAATACATTCGAAGGTGTTCATGTATGTTTTATTTGAATAATTTATCATTAAAAGTATCACAACAAATCATTGATTTATAATATATATTTAGCATTCAAGAAAATGTGGAGCTGGAACTGCACTATATTTGGTAATCAATTCATCGACAATCATTTTGATTCGTGGTCGTAAAGCATGTGCATGGGGATCAGTTTATTTAGATGAATTTGGTGAAGAAGATCGTGATTTAAAGTAAGTAGTAACTAATAATATAACTAATAATAGATTATGAAATCAATTTCAATTCTAATAAATCCTGCATATGTGTGTAGACGGGGAAAACCATTGTTTCTATGTAATGAACGTTATCGTATACTTGAACAACAATGGTTAACACATAGTTTTTTAAATATCAACAAAAAATGGATCTATCATACAAATATGATTTGATGATAAAACGGAAGCTTTTACATCTGGAGCAAACATATAACATCCTTTTTATTGACAAAAAAAATGTACTTATTATATTTCAAGGCATACAACAACAACAAAAAAAATGTTATCGACATTAATTAATCCGAAAGACGTACAACAAAAAAAATCTAATTCGTGATAACTATCCGGTGAATTGTAATTTAATACTTGTTAAAAAAAATTATTTTGTTTTTATTTTGTTTGTTTGTTTTTTTTCATATTAAAATTGAAAATGTTATTTGGTTTTTATGGTTATGTATTGTTTTATTGTAGAATTGTTTGTTCGATTTTTAATTAATTAAATTTTATCAAATTAAATTTTAAAAAAATAAAAATGTAAATGACCCGCTGAAAGTATTTAATTCTTCATCTTTATAAAGTTTTTTTGCGTAAATTCCATGTATCATTCAAAGATGACGTCTTTAGGAATTTTTTTTTGTTATGATGTCATCATAAAATTGTCGAATGCGTTTTTTATTATTATTATTATTTGTTTGTTTGTTGATAAAAATGCAATTAGCCATGCATTGATGGAGAATCAACGAATACAAATTTTCTTTAAGGAGGATAGATGAAATGATGAGGCTATAATAAATACATAGAATTAAAAATTTTTCCAAATCCATGGATACTGTCATCAAAATTGTGAGTTTCATATAAAAAAAAAAAATCTTTCCACTACAAAATGTTGTTGTTGTTGTTGATATCTATCCTTCATCAATTTAATAATCCATCGACGATGGATTGAGAAATTGTTGTCGTCGTCGTTGTTGTTGATAATTTTATGTTTTATTCCACACATATACACACAATTGTTTGTGTCGGCATTTTGTTGTAAATACACATACATCTACTCACAATAAGCCTCTTCCATTACATTAAATTTAATAGAAAAAAATACAAGTCAGCTAAGCCACCATGGCATAAAAAAAATGATTATATCAACATTGTATCCAAAATAATCAGTGAGTAGTATACGATATAACGAATGATTTTTTCCTTTTTTTTGATGATATCGATTATGGTCATCAAAATTGACTGTGTGTTGGTGTTTACATTGATAAAAAAATGATTGATTAGACCCAATTAGATTGATTAATATTGATTCAGGATCTAATCATCATCATCATCATCATTATCGATTGTGTTTAATTACATCATTTTATGTGATTTGATAATCACAAAAAAAAATAATTTTCGATCATTTTTATGCCATCTGTCCAAAAAATATTGAATCGAATTTTTTTTTCAAACGTAAGAAATTATTCATCATTATCTTTATAATTTCGATTAAAATCACAGCAAATGATAATAATAATTATTTTATTTGGTTGTAATAAAATAATATAATTTTATTTTTGTAAAAAAAAAAATATTAATTTTATGATGATCCTTGATTTGAAACAAATCGTCTGTGATTTTTTTTTCTGTGATTTCAATGTTATGGCTTCTGAATCCCTCCCGCCTGGTCCTTACATTTTTTCTTCATTCACAACAGACCGATAAATTGAATTGAAATTCAGGATTTCCTCGTATTATTCAGGATACATCCTCTCTTTTATAGATAATTATTCTTTGAAAATTTCATTCACGTAATACATTTTTTTTTAATGATGATGCAATGAAAAACATTTAATGAATCTTTCTTTTTTTTAAATAGAGATAGTGTTTGTCATAAAAAAAAGAGATCTGTCAAAAAAATTAAAACATTTTTTTCAGATGCCATTTTTTTAAATAACGATCATAAACATCATTGATTTCACTCACAGATTTTTTTTTTTGTTTGCTGTTTTGCTTGTCTACCTGCACCTGTTTTGCTGTTGTTGAATGATTGATTCTGATGATTGTTTTTTCGAAAATAATATTTTATTTTTTTCATATGATTCCTTTTTGTTTGCTTTATTCAACACACAGGTCAATTTTACCATTATCCCCACTAATGAATTTTCAGAAGAAAACAAAAACTGTACAATTTTTAATGATGCAAATATTAATGATGATGATGGAATGATTGAATGAAAAAAAAACCTGTATTTGGTTTTTTTCATATACGATTCTTCTGCGGAATTAACCTTGAATCTTGTATGATCAGTGTTTGTGTGTGTGTATTGAGTTTTGTTTATTTATTTATTAATTACTTCTTTTTCTTCTTCTGTGTTTAATTTATATACCAGAAAACACCGGTTATGTTTTCTTTTCTGCTATTGATTGATTGATTGATTTGATCATTTACATGAACAAAAAAAAAATGAACAAACAAGTGTTTTGGTTGTTCGATTCAACGATCGTTTAATTGTTTGTTTGTGCAAAATAATTAAAGAATCATGATGTTATTCTATAAGAAACGGAATAAAACGGTTTTTNTTTTTTCTTTCATTCACAACAGACCGATAAATTGAATTGAAATTCAGGATTTCCTCGTATTATTCAGGATACATCCTCTCTTTTATAGATAATTATTCTTTGAAAATTTCATTCACGTAATACATTTTTTTTAATGATGATGCAATGAAAAACATTTAATGAATCTTTCTTTTTTTAAATAGAGATAGTGTTTGTCATAAAAAAAAGAGATCTGTCAAAAAATTAAAACATTCTTTTCAGATGCCATTTTTTAAATAACGATCATAAACATCATTGATTTCACTCACAGATTTTTTTTTGCTGTTTTGCTTGTCTACCTGCACCTGTTTTGCTGTTGTTGTTGATTGATTCTGATGGTTGTTTTTTCGAAAATAATATTTTTTTTTCTTCATATGATTCCTTTTTGTTTGCTTTATTCAGCATACAGGTCAATTTTACCATTATCCCCACTAATGAATTTTCAGAAGAAAACTAAAACTGTACAATTTGATGATGCAAATATGATGATGGAATGAATGGGAAAAAAACCTGTATTTGGTTTTTTCATATACGATTCTTCGACGGAATTAACCTTGAATTTATGATCATTGTGTGTTTGTGTGTGTATTGAGTTTTGTTTATTTATTTATTAATTTCTTCTTTTTCTTCTTCTGTGTTTAATTTATATACCAGAAAACACCGGTTGTGTTTTCTTTTTCACTATTGATTGATTTGATCATTTACAATGAACAAAAAAATGAACAAACAAGTGTTTTGGTTGTTCGATTCAACGATCGTTTAATTGTTTGTTTGTTTGTGCAAAATAATTAAAGAATCAAGATGTTATTCTATAAGAAACGGAATAAAACGGTTTTTTTTCTGTCAAAAATCAATGATTTTTTCTAATGTTTTATTCTTGATGTGTTTAATTCATTAATACGTCTTCCTTTGATCATTTTGTTTGTTATGATTTGGTTCTTTTTAAAAAAATTGAATTTTTGTTTTTGTTTTTAAATTACAAAATTCAAAATTATCATCATCATCATCAACAACAACAATAACATTAAACTATGAAGAATATAAATAAAATATTTGACTGCTCATTTCGAACATTTCGACAAATGTTCATATTGTTCAATTGTATTACATTTTTACTTATTTTATCATCATCATCATCATTATTACTTATTGATTGTCGATCAGAACCATCACTATCATCATGTTCACAACAGCAACATCATCAAACAATATCTCATGTTCAGAATCAAAAATATCAACAACAACAACAACAAAATCGACAAAGTGCAGCATCGACGACAAATAATCAAGAAAATCGTGTGCCAAATAATAACCGAGTGCCTGATAATAGTGATAGTAATAATAATAATAATAATAATGATAACAATCAATGTCAGCTACAGGTGGTAAAATCAACAAATGAAATTCAATCATTTCAATCTTTCCAAACAATCAATGGTATTTTTTTAAATTCAAATCATTTTCACAATTGATGATATAATCTAATCTAATCTGTTTCTTTTTATTACTTTCAGATTTTGATTGTGAACATTTGAATTTCTGTGATGATCGTCTTGGTTTTGAAGCCATCCTTTTTCTTCATCGTCAATTAGATGAAGATGCTAATGGTGATATCGATATAGCTGAATCGGATGAATTTATTCGTGATGAATTAAAATATGAAAATGGTGCCGAACGACAAAAAGCATTCCATGGTAATGATAAACATATTACCGTTGATGAATTATGGCGAGCATGGCGTATATCGACTGTACACAATTGGACCGTTGATCAGACTGTTGAATGGTTAAATGAAATTGTTGAACTGCCTAAATATCAAAGGGTATTCGAAACGAATGCAATCAATGGAATAACGCTTCCACGTTTAGCTGCCAATCCACAAATTTTCTCCTTACTAGGAATTAATAATCCCATACATAAACAGAAAATTGCATTAAAAGCTATGGATGCTGTATTGTTTGGTGAACCAAAATCAAAAAGCTCAAATAAAGATGTGATCATGGGCTTTCTATTTATTTTTGCTACTGTTGTTGGTTATTATGCCTATCGACAAAATAAATATTCCAAAGAACATATTAGAAAAATGACAAAAGATATTGAAACATTATCCGTCTATGAAAAACAAATTGAAACAATGCAAAGTGAATTAGATAAATTAAAACAAGAACAACAGGAAACATCTAAAGAAAAAGAAGAAATGGAACGTAAACTTAGAGCTAAAGAAATGATCAAAGCTAATAATGGAGAATATTTTGATATTAAAACATTAGCATCCGATACTGATGATCGTATGAGAGAATTAGAAGATGAATTACGCGAAACTCATTGTGAATTGAAACGTGTACAACAAGCATATGAAAGTCGACAATGGATTCCACCACGTGCTTTACAACTTTATCTACAATTTACATATGAAATTGAAAATCGATATTATAATATGAAAAAAGCTAATGCTGAACATCAATTACAAGCGGCAAGAGAAGGTGTATGTATTTTTATCTATTAAAAAAAATATGATTCAATCATATGATTTATTCTATTCATATTTGATAGTGTGATAAATTGAAAAAGAAACGTTCATCACTATTTGGAGCATTTCGTATGGCACATGGTTCGGCAATTGATTATGTCGATAATACTATAATTCAAGCACGAACATTACTTGCTGAATTAACACAGGAAATGCATGAACGTATTAAACGATGGAAACAGATTGAATTGTTTTGTGGTTTCGAAATCATTCATAATCCAGGTTTAAGTCATTTAGAACAATTTTTATATGGAACAACAGGAATAAGTAATTCATCAAATCAATTAAAAACATCTGCATCAACAGCTTCGATGTCAAAATTGTTACGTCGAGGTAGTGAAGCTACCATTGCTGAAGAAGATGCTGTTTCCATAATTTCCGGTATGTGTTTAATTTTATGATTTTCAGATTGTATTGAAATTTCCAAAATTTCATTTGGTGTTAAGCTCAAACAAAACCATATAGTCCTTGGCATTCAACTATTCAAGCCGTTCAGGCTATAGAAAGGTGGCAAAATCAACAAATATCCACTAATTCTATTCCTATTAAAAAGGTTAGTTTGGTGACAAAAAAATCATTAAAAAAAATTTAATTAATAATGTTTCATTTTATTTTAGGCATCGATTCAATCATTATACCAAATTCCACAAAAAAGTTCAATGAACGACGAAAATTGCAATGATAGTGACTTTTACATTGGCGAGGATTCCCAACAATTGGCGAATGATGGTTGCCGATCTGGTCTTCCAATTAATCGAAAGTAAGTTCTGTGTGTGTATGTGTTTCAACATATGGTGTTCAACATCATCCCAAAAAAAAATATTCTCTACATCATCATTCATTCAGAAAATCATCAATAATACCAACAAAAGTACATCAATCGTTTAATATAAGAAGTAGCAGTGATGGCGTGGAAAGACATTTTGAAGAGATCAATCAATCGCTTTATAATGATCAACATTCAAACATTTGCTCACAACCAAATATATCGAGCTCGGATATGTCATTCGATACTAGTTCGATTACAAGTGCTTATTATCCTACTAGACAAATTGAAATTAATAATAGCAACAATTCAATTTATTCGATATCGATACAACCAAAAGATTTATTATTCACTAATGAATCAAATGATGAAACAATTTCTTCCGATTCGAATGAATCAACTAACAATATCAATGCTACTGCATCATCCAACATAAATGGCAATGATCTCATCAATATGGTTAATGATGGTGATGGCAATAATGAAAATCAAAATAATGATCATCAAAAAAGAATCGATAGAAAAAATAAAAAACGACATGTCGGTTTATTTAGTGGCATACGAGTTATGAAGAAAAAAAATTGAACACACCATATTTATTTTGAACACACCATCTCAATTGTTTCGAATAAAATCAACTGTGAATGTTATTATCATGTTTATTTTTTATCAAAAATCATAATTTATTAATATATTTTTAAGTATGTATTTTTTTAAAAAAATATGAATAATGGAAACTTTTTTTAATTATATTATTATTTTTTTTTTGTGATTAGATTTTAGATCAAAAATTTTTTAAAAAAATATAATTAACTTAATATTTTAATAATCCAAACATCTAATCATATTTGAACAACATCTGTGATTTTGGCTTGAATAAAAGAAAATGTATCAAAAATTTTTTTTTCATATACATCATATAAATGTGTAAAATTTGATGGTCAGACATAATGATTTATTATCATTAAAATTTGATAAAACAATTTAGGAATCTTTTTTACCATTAATAATTTTGGTTAATAATCAAATTAACTTTATAAGAAAAGAAAATTTTTTGTTTGTTTGTTTGATTATATTGCATATATTTGGCCAAGATGAAATACAAGACAATAAAAAAAAAGACAAATCGGGTATTTGTGTACATAAATTGTTGGATATTTTTTATATTAAATGAATAAAATGTATTTGAATTTGAAAAAACGAAAGTGAACTTTATTTATTATCCATGTTTAGTATTATCGGAAACTTGTTGAATAGTTTTGATTCCATTATTTGGATTATTATTGACAGCTATTGTCTGTAAATTTGGCTGTTGATTTGATTCAACATTTGAATTTGACAATGATTGTTTTCGTTGTTTTATTTCATTAACTTCTGATGTTGTTATTGGTTGTTGTTTTTCAGAATGTGCAATAACTGTACGTACTTCTTCCATAACTGGTTTAATTTCTTGCGTTACATGACGATATGGTTGTATAATTTCTCTTAATTCCTGTATGATTGGTTTGTATACTTCATGTGTAATCAATTGAGCTGGTTCTTCCGATCTTGTATGTTGTGGTTCATTACGTGATGATGGAATATGAATTTGTTGAAATAACAATGGTCCAGAAGATGAACGAAAAACAAATTGTACTGGTGCAGTGATTGCATCAACTTCAATAATTTGTGGTTGAATTGGTTGTTCTATTTGATTTGAATATGAAACTAATTCAAGAAATCGTTTACTTTCAATAGCAGCTGAAAGAGATGGAGCTGAAACATATGATGATGATTGAATCATACCAACATCGTTTGAATATTTTGCTGGTTGAACTATGGATGACGGTTGAATTCTATTTCTTATTAATGATGGTTTATTCTGGTAATTTGAAACATATGTTTGGATCGGTGTTTTTGTATGATAAACATTTGAAGGAATTATTTTCATATCATTCATAGCATACGATGTCATTATAAAAATACACAAGACGAAGAAGATCAAGGTCTCCATCATGCTTGTGAATGTGTGTATAGGTTGTTGTCCTTAACTATAATATTTTTAGCCGTCAATTCACTAAAGCAGTCAAACAACAAATGATGCCTAGAAATTGGGTCTATTAACATTTTATACTTAGAAACAAGATTGGATATACTGAAAAAAAATCCATCTATGATCTGACCTATGACCCAAGATGTTATTCGATAATAGTATGTACTGATGAAATGCAAAAAAAAAAAACTTTTTTCCTCGATTAACAAGAAATTTTTCGATCATAATTTTTTTTTTTGTTGAAAAAATCGAATAAAATTTTCGAAAATGGAAAGTGTAAGGAAATAGACATCGCCTATTTTCCATTATCCATCAAGCCAACCATTAAAAGTGGACATATTGAAAGTGAAAGTGAAAAGCATATAAGAGATAATGTTGTTAATCTTTACAACATTTTTACATTAGTTGACCATATCTCTGTGTGTTTGTGTTAAACTCTAAAAAATGATTACTTCTTCAGACAATGACCACAAACACTCACATTAGATGATACCAATGAAAAAAACGACCTTGAAAATGTTTGGGTTTGCTTATCTGGTTTGTATCTTTTTTCTACTTCTTTTTATTCATATTCAATAAAAGTGTGATGATAATCAGATAAAGAAAATCAAAAAAAAAGGAAAATTCTATCCGAAAATGATGCAAAACTAATACATCTTTTTTTTGTTTGTGCTGTCCATCATCATTATTATTATTTTCTTAGCATCATGAAATAAAAAGGTCGAGAATATTTGGCGTCGATAGGTCGACAATTTCTTCTTTCCTTTTTTTTGTTGTTGTTGAGTATAAAAGAACATAGATTCGATTCGTTTTAGATTCATTTGCTAAGTGTGTATGGTAATCAATTGACTATATGAAAAGAAAAATGAAATTGGTAAGATTCTTCAGAATTATTGTTGTATTTTTTGTTTGACAATTTGTTTGATTCATTTTTTTGCATGTTTGTTTCAAGACTTTAGCATTTATTTTAGCCATTTTTGTTGCCAATTCTTCGGCATTACTTTTTCGATCAAGAACCACCAATCCAAGCAAGGTAGTTGTTCAATCTCCAGCTGTAAAAACAGTTCGACATGGATTCCGAAATTTTCCAATTGTACAACAACAGATTCAACAGATGCCCGAATCTGATCGAGTTGAACAGATTCCAATGATTGACAATGTTTATCGTCAACCAATTCGATCATACAATGAACCATTAAATATTCCAGTATTTTCATCACATAATTTACAAGTAATTCCGGTCAATGTTGAAACACCAATGCAACAATCACAAGTGATTGCAATCGAACCAAGTACACAGGCCATACATTTAGTATTCAAATCTGTTAGTAATCCATTATCGATTCATCAACAACATAGTCCAGGTGAACGTTCATTTTATGAAACTACTCGGTCAGAAGAACCAGCACATATTATTCGACATGAAGTTTATAAGCCGGTAGTACAGGAATTACAGGAAACTATTCAACCATATCGACAGGTTACTCAAGAAATTAGACCAGTCATTGAAAAAGTAAACGTTATTGTACCAAAAGCTGAACAAGTTAACCGAAAATATGTTGATCATGTTCAACGGGATTTTATTGTACCAATGTTACCGGGATTGCCTAAATTTCCAAAATTACCATCAATAATTTTTCCAAGACCCGTTGTTCAGCAACCAGAACAACAGCAACAACAACGATTTCCAGTTCAACAACAACAACAACAAGAAGTTCGTGAACAACAACAACAACAACAACAACAAGTTTCAAATTTACAATCATCACCTGAACGATATACAGTACCAATAATTATTGAACATCCACAACAACAAAGAATTGAAGATACAAATGAAGAAAACTTTGATTGAATAAAATTCTGATTGATTTCAAAATGACGAAATGAAGAAATCTTCAATAATTTTCTATTTCGATTTAAACACATAAAACACACACACACAAACAGATTAGAGAAAAATTCTCAAAGTTTTTGAATATTCCATTTACAATATGATTTTTGATCAAAAAATAAAATTTGACCTTGATTGACCAAAAGCCAAAAAAAACCAAATAAAATAATAAAGAATAAAAGCTGTTGACCTTGATGATGATGATGATGATCAGGATTTGTTGTCGAGAGGACCTGTTTATAGTTTGTGAGAAAAAAAACAGGTATCCAAATGGATGATTCGTTAATTTAGGTCAAGCGAATGAAAAGACCCTGTGTGTTAACAAAACTTTTACTTTCGATTATCAAATCCCAATGATTTCAATGTTAAAATTTTCAACAGCATAAATCTAGTTGGCAAAAAAAACTATGTTTGATTTGGATTGATTTTAATCTTTATTTGATTTGATAAGTTTCCTGATCTGAAGCCAACTGACGAACTAAAGAACTATTGAATGTCTGCGGGTGTTTGTTGATATTCTGTTGTAGCTGTTTGGAAAAAAAATGTATTTTCTGGTTTCTCAATTAAAAAACATTTTTTTTTATCTCGATGAGATAATAGTCGATGAATCTGGATTTTTTTTCATATTTTCAATTCTTCAATGATTGTTTTGTTTGCATAAATGGCCAAAAAAAAGAAATGATTTTAAGCAGTTAAAAAAAAGTTTTTCATTTCTTCACTTTGGCTAGACACTTACAGTGTGAAAAAGGAAAACTTTTTTTTCAATCTCACACAACAATCTCATTGACCAAACACAAGATTTGAAAAATTTTCAAATCAGTGTTAAAATCAATCAATCAATCAATCACAATATGCAATACTAATTTTTAAAACTAAATCAAAACAGCAAAAACCAAAAAAAAAATATGTTAAAATTCTTGTTGATAATCTATGATTTTTGATTGAATTTGTTGTTGTTGGTTTAAAAGATTACAAATTTACAACAACAACATCTATTATTTACCACCAGGAGCTCAACAATCTTAACTTTGGATCTTTATTGTTGTTTTTTCCATTTTATAAGTCCTTCACAATGAATAAACAAATTTGTGAAGAAGTGAAGAAAACATTCTGTGATTATGGTGTCCACCTGTGGTCATTAGCTAATAATAGATATTTTTTTAGTAGTTTATGGAATATGGAATCAATAAGATTTGTTGTTGAAAAATGAAATGTTTTTCATATATTCTACTCTCGAAATATTTGTTTGGGGTTTTTTTCTCTTGTCGAATCCATTTTGTCATAATCGATTTGAGAGAAAAAAAATTGACTTTTACAGGTGACAAATTAACTTGACCAAAAGAAAAAAAAATTGAATAATATTATCGTTGACCACACACCACACACCACTCTACACACGTTTCTTACCCATTGATGCATGGCTTCATAGCCAACATGATTATTTGTGTTCTCTCTTTCTCTGTGTGATTGACAGATAAAAATATGTGTTACAGGTAATGTATGAAAATTTTTCAGATTTGAACAGGTTTCGAAAGGGTTCATATGTTTTTTTTCCTGCTAAGAAAGATTTATTGTTCAAACTAGTTTATATAAATAATCTCTGTAACAAAAAAAAACAAATTTTTCTGGACTGTATTTTTTTCACCTGTGCAATATAAAAATCATTGCAAATATCTTGAAAAGAAATTCATTTAGAATTTTGAAACATAACGAATTCCTTCTCAAAAAAAATATCTCTGTGTGTGCATTTGATTCACAAATGTTTTAAACAAATCTAAACAACAGTTAATCAAAACCAAAACAGAACATCAATAATATCATCAATATGGATAAACATTCTTCGTTTGTTTTGTTATTATTGATCATTGCCATCATCATCATTCAAATGAATAGCCAATGTTATTGTGTCTATATTTATGGTTTAGTTTTACATAATCCAATACCGGATGATCTTGGTTTAAAAAATTCACTACATCAACATTCATCATCCGAATCATCCGAATCAGCAATTGGACAAGATCAAAATAGTCACCATATTTATGAAACAATCGATAATGATTATTATGATAATAATTTTGGTGATAAAGGAAAAAGAAATTTCATTTCTTCGTTTTCTCAACATGATAATCATCGACAACAACAACAACAACAAACAAAACAAAAAATTTTAAATAGCCGAATAAAATGTCGACAAGATTCAGATTGTATTGATGATGATGGATCAGAAAATGATCCATTAATGTATTGTGATCAACATTATAGTTATTGTGATTATTTTCGACAGATTGGTGAATTATGTCGTTATGATAGTCAATGTGATAATGGATTAATATGTATGTTTGGTCAATGTGAAAAACCATTTGAAAAGGGACATCTTGGTTCAAGATGTAAAGATTCGGATGATTGTAATGATGGTCTTTGTTGTGCCCGACAACATGGTGAAAGAATTTGTAAAACAAAATTAAAACATGGTCAACAATGTTTCGTTCCACTTGGTGGTCTTAATTATAGCCTAAATGAACTTTGTCCATGTGATAATGGTTTAGAATGTCGTACGATTAAATCGAAAAATTCATTACGAAGGTTTGTAATTTTTCAAAATTAAGAAAAAACATTTCAAATAATTTCAAATTTTATTCTTTGTTTTAATCATTTTTGATCGAACAGGAAAAGAAAAAATGAAAATCTAATGCGATGTACATTTACAACAAACATCAATGAAACGACTACAAATATTTAAAATCCAAAAAAAAAACTTACCGACACGCCATCTAACGATGATTTGAAAAAAGAAAATTCAAATTTCATTTTTCAAAACAAAAATGGATATGGATATGGATTATATGATTTTATAACCGAAAAAAAGCAACAACAACAACAACAACAACAATTATAATTAATCCAAGTCGGCTATCCGGTTTTTTTTTACAATAAAACAATGAACGAAAGAAGTGAAAATGATGAATTGAAAGCAAAACAAAACGGAAAGAAATTGTAAATAATTTTTTTTTTGAAAATGTAAATAAAATAATTGATCGATTTTGGATTGTATTTTATTATTGTAAATACTGAGTACAAAAAAAAACATTACAAAGAAAAAAACTATTTTTTTCCAAAAACAACAAAAATAATCATTTTTATTCTGTGTGTAAATATTGAACAAAAAAAAAAACACCGAAGAAAAACAAAATAAAAAATTGTCATCATCATCATTTTACACAAACACACACACAAAACTCTCTCTCCCTAAACTACATTTGTAACATGAATTTAATTTTTTTTTCAGGTTTTTTTTCCCCAATAATAATAATATTTCGTGTTCAAAGAAAAAAAAACATTCGGATTCTGTTTAAAATTTAACACGCATAGATCGAGACAATGAAGTTTAAATCCGAAGTTATTTAGAAACTTCGAGATATTTATTATTATTATTATTATGAGAAAAAAAAACGAAAATAAACTTCCTGTTGTTTTTTTTATTCCTATCCCTATATTCTGTAATAATGAAGAAGACGAAAAGAAAAAATCTAAAAATAAAAATTCAATTTTAATTTTTTCAATTGAAAANGTCTGGAATGTCGTACGATTAAATCGAAAAATTCTTTACGAAGGTTTGTAATATACAATTTTTCAAATTAAGAAAAACAAAAAATGTTCATTTCAAAAAATGTTATTTTATTCTTTGTTTTAATCATTTTTGATCGAACAGGAAAAGAAAAAATGAAAATCTAATGCGATGTACATTTACAACAAACATCAATGAAACGACGACAAATATTTAAAATCAAAAAAAACAAAAAAAAAACTTACCGACACGCCATCTAACGATAATTTGAAAAAAAGAAAATTCAAATTTCATTTTCCAGAACAAAAATGGATATGGATTATACGATTTTATAACCGAAAAAAGCAACAACAACAACAATTATAATTAATCCAAGTCGGCGATCCGGTTTTTTACTTGTCTGATCTAAAGTACAAAAAAAAAATATTTTCTCCATAACAATAACAATGAACGAAGTGGAAATGATGAATCGAAAGCAAAACAAAACGGAAAGAAATTGTAAATAATTTTTTTATTTTTTTTTTTTGTAAATAAAAATAAAATAATTGATCGATTTTGGATTGTATTTTATTATTGTAAATATTACTGAGTACAAAGAAAACATTACAAAGAAAAAACTATTTTTTTCCAAAAACAAAAAAAAACAAAAATAATCATTTATTTCGTGTAAATATTGAACAGAAACACACACCAAACACCAAGTTTTCTTTACAAAATAAAAAAAAATTGTCATCATCATCATTTTACACACACACTCTCTCCCCAAACTACCATTTGTAACATGAATTTAATTTTAATCTTTTCTGTATTTTTTTGGTTGAAAGTTTTTCTTTTCCCAATAATAATATTTCGTGTTCAAAAGAAAAAACATTGATTCTGTTTAAAATTTAACACGCATAGATCGAGACAATGTTTCCATCCGAAGTTATTTAGAAACTTCGAGATATTTATTATTATTATGAGAGAAAAAACGAAAATAAACTTCCTGTTGTTTTTTATTCCTATCCCTATATTCTGTAATAATGAAGAAGACGAAAAGAAAAAATCTAAAAATAAAAATTCAATTTTAATTTTTTCAATTGAAAAAAAAAATTTTGAAATAAGTTAATTGAGAAACATTGAACATTCGAGAAGATGGTTTTTTCTCTTTATATTTGGCCACAAACTTCTGTATTAATTATTTTTCGTTGAAAAATTCTTCTTTTTTTTTGTTTTGTTTTGTTTATTCAATCTGTCCCTCATCATCATCATCATCAACGTGTTTACCTCCGTAAAAAATAGGTACGAAAAAAAAATTATTGAATTTTCCAATTGATAATGTTTTTTTGTTTCATAATAAACGACGTTTGATCAAAATGAATTAAGAATTTCACTAAATATTTGATTTTGTAAGGAAAAACTGTTATTTATTGGAAAAAACTCACCAGATGGAACTATGAAAGGGGGGTGAAATACAAATCAAACAAGGTAAAAGAATATAAAGAATTTGGTACTTTTGCCCGTCAAAGATGTTTCGAAACACAAACACAAAACAAAACAGAATTTCTTGTATCTTTTTTTTTATTATTCTTGAATCGATTGTATAGTGTGATGTTGATGATGATGATTTTGTTGTATTTAGATTTGTGTGCCATATTTACGTCATCATAATCATGACGTTATCTTGACCGAGAATATAAAGCACTCTACTCTCTCTCTCTCTCTCCCTATCTATATTCTATATTCTATATAAAAATATAAAAAATATTTTCAATGAAATTCAATGAATGATACGTGTGTGTGTGTGTGTTATATCTGAATATTCTGTACTATTTATTGTCATGGTTGTTGTTGTTGTTGTTGTCATAACCAGAAAGAATTATAATTTTGTTGTTGTTGTTCGAATAGAATTGAAAACGCGCGCGCTTCAAACAACAACAACAACAACAAAAATCATTCAGTTTTTTTTTGTGTAACAAAAAGATGATAGAAACATACACACCGAATCCTCATCCTACCTTAATCTCACCTATATCCCCCGGAAGTAAAGAGTGTTGTTGTTGTTGTTTTTTCCCTTTAATTATATTCTTTGATATTACAAGGAGGGGATGCAAAACGATTTTACTTTAGTTAAATTATTATTTGGAAAAATTCTGTTTGGTTTTTTGTCACATGTAAACATAGTGTTCAGAAAATAAAGTATGTTATTGATTGGAAATAAAATGTGGAATCAAAACAAAAAATCAATTTCGATTGAATCGATATGGCCTGGATTTGTTGTTATTATTTTGCTGTGTAGCTCAAGTTTTTTCATATATCAGATCAGAGATTATGATTGAAAATCAATTTGCAATGGATTTTTAATTTGGGGGGGGGGATTTCCAAATATTATATCGAGAATAATCGAGAATCAAACAGAATTTGCCACTGATCTAAAAAATGTATTTGTTGATCATCATTTGATGATGAAGATCAACATTTTTTTGTTTCATTTAAGTCAATAGAGTAATGACCTTTTTTCATTATCATCTTTGGCGTTTTTTTTGTTGTTGTTGTTGTCTGATGATGGGTAAGAATATTCTTCTTCTACTTAAAATAATAAAAGATAATTTTGTTTTTTGTTTTTTTAACAGGTATAAAAATATCATTTCGTGATATGCTTCGATATATCAATTTTTTTATTATCATCAAATATAACACTATAAATAGATAATAGAAAGTATAAGAGAGAGAGAGAGAGAAATATAAATAAAAAAAAAACTACAATATTTTACAATTATAAAACAATTATTTGCTAGTCTTTTTGGGAATCAACTTGACATTCTAATAATCATATATTTGTTTTGATATTGATGATATTTAAAAATTTGATATTTTTTTTGTGATTAAATCAAATATTATGATGATCATCATTGTCATTAAATAATCAGTATGGGAGGGAATGGATAGATAGATAGACATTGACATCGACAACGGTGGTGGTTGCAAGAAAGAAATCAAACTTCTGGGCGTTGATTGAAGTTGAAAGAAAAAAAATTTAAACAAAGAGGGAAACAAAACAATTATGTAGACGAAAATAACGGGCAAAAAAAAAATCTTGACAGGTAGAAAGAATCCAATCCCTCTCTCTCTCTCTGGCTCTATCCGTGTTGTTTTTTTTGTTTTTTCAGTGAATAAAACACCAGGTATATAAAAAACAATTCTTCAAACGATATGATTACGATGTTCGGTATGGAACACTAGATTCTTCAATTCTTTAAATTTTAAAGTTTGTTATAAAAAAAAATTTCAATGTACGTCTATTTGGATTTGAAATGACCAAAAAAAAAGATAAAAATCTTTCAAATTCTGTTTTCTTCTTTGTTGTTGTTGTTGTTGTGTAACCACCATACAGAGATTCAATTACGATCGATTCAATGATAAGATAAACGAAGATTCTTGTTTCTTTGGGAGAAATTGGATTGAAAAAAAACCAACAAACAACAACAGAAAAAAGGTAAGCAAAATTCATAACCAACGCATAGGTAATGTACTTTTTTTTGATTCTGTGTGTTATGTCATTTACCGACGACAAACAAAACAAAACAAACAAGTGGGTGAGAAAATGTGAAAAAAACATAATCATTAAATTCTCAATGATAAGAATAATCTAGATTTCTAATCTTTGTGTGCGAAAAAAAAAAACAAATTTGAAATTTGAAAAATTACGAGAGAAGTTAGTAAAGCAAACAAACAAACAAACAAACAAACATGGTTTGGTTTTGAATAAAAAAATGTTATTTCAATTATATCATTATCATCAACATTGGCAAACTAAACAACAAACATCTACCATTTAAAAAAGTATTCGCTTGTTGCGCGTCTGTTATCCTGAACAAACAAAATTTTCTTTCTTCAGTTTTATTTTTCAATGCTGCCATTCATTTTAATGATGATGATTATCAATAATAATGATTATTGTCGAAACAGTGTGAGAAGAGAGAAAGAAGAAAAACATCGAAATTTATATAGAATGATGGTAAACGTCGACGAAGACGACGAGAGAAAAGTTGATGATCAACAATTGATGATAATGGTAGTGGTGGTGGTTGGTGGTGGTGTTTTCAACTACGACGACGACGACAACAAACGATGTTGATGACGATGGCAACAGGATCGACAATAATAATATCTTTTCCTTTTTTTTCATTAAAGAGCTTTATTTTTGTTTTGTGTTTTATGGACAAGAAAAAAACAAAAATTTTCGCCTGCAAGTTGTTGTTGTTGATATTTTGTTGTTGATGTTTGGATATCATTTGAATCATCATTGAAAATTTCTGTAATTTTTATTTTCCAGTAGGATTCTTGATTGATTCTGGGTTAATTTTTTTTTATACAAGAACTTCGATTTTTTTGTCTTGAATTCCTGAATGATTTAAACGTACGCCACGTATACATTGTGCTCTTGAACAGAGGAAAAAAAAGGAAGCAACAGCAAGAAGAAAATGATCATTTTTGATGAGTGAATTTTTTTTTTGCCCCTTGTTACCCAATGTTATCCCGATAAACACACTGTATGACGACGACTACAACGACAACGACAACGACAACGACAACGACGATAATATCCACGACAACGATTGATGATGATGATGTTGGTAATGTTTTTTTTTTGTGATAGTAATGATGACAACAACAAAAGCTAAAGCTTGGTGATTAATACATCTTTCTCTCTTTCTCTCTGTATGATGATGCGATGTGTGTGTGTGTGTGTGTGTAATATATATTATCCCCCACTATCTTACTCCCGGTATGACCGACTTTGTTGTATTTGAAATCAAAAAAAAAAGAAAGAAATCATCATCATTGTGAGATATACAGAAACATAAAACGGATTGNGTTATTTCAATTATATCATTATCATCAACATTGGCAAACTAAACAACAAACATCTACCATTTAAAAAAGTATCGCTTGTTGCGCGTCTGTTATCCCGAACAAACAAAATTTTCTTTCTTCAGTTTTTTTTCAATGCTGCCATTCATTTTAATGATGATTATCAATAATAATGATTATTGTCAAAACAGTGTGAGAAGAGAGAGAAAGAAAAAAACATCGAAATTTATATAGAATGATAGTAAACGACGACGAAGACGAGAGAAAAGTTGATGATCAACAATTGATGATAATGGTAGTGGTGGTTGGTGGTTGGTGGTGTTTTCAACTACGACGACAAACGATGTTGATGACGATGGCAACAGGATCGACAATAATAATATCTTTCCTTTTTCATTATTAAAGAGCTTTATTTTTGTTATGTGTTTTATGGACAAGAAAGTAAAAAAATTTTCGCCTGCAAGTTGTTGTTGTTGTTGATATTTTGTTGTTGATGTTTGGATATAAACCATCATCATTGAAAATTTCTGTAATTATTTTCCAGTAGGATTCTTGATTGATTCTGGGTTAATTTTTTTTACAAGAATTTCGATTTTTTTTTCTTGAATTCCTGAATGATTTAAACAACGCCACGTATACATTGTGCTCTTGAACAGGGAAAAAAAAGGAAGCAACAACGACAGCAAGAAGAAAATTATCATTTTTTTTGATGAGTGAATTTTTCTTTGCCCCTTGTTACAATGTTATCCCGATAAACACACACTGTATGACGACGACGACAACGACAACGACGATAATATCCACGACAACATCAACGATTGATGATGATGGTAATGTTTTTTTTTTTGGTGATAGTAATGATGACAACAACAAAAGCTAAAGCTTGGTGATTAATACATCTTTCTCTTTCTCTCTCTCTGAATGATGATGCGATGTGTGTGTGTGTGTAACTAATATATATTATCCCCCACTATCTTACTCCCGGTATGACCGACTTTGTTGTATTTGAAATTAAAAGAAATCATCATCATCATCATTGTGAGATATTAGAAACATAAAACGGATTGCATGTATACAAAGACAATTCAAGTTCGAATGTTTTTGTTTGTTTGTTTTTCTGTTCTCTTGATTTCCGATCATATTTTTTTCAATTTCAATAATTTTAGGGAATCCTTATTTGAATAAATTTTCTAATTTTTTTTTCTCTTTTTTCATTATCGAAATTATCTAGAGATAACAAGGATTAACAATCATCGAAATCAAATTTTATTCACAAGGTATGTTTGAATCAAATTGCCAAAATCTATCAAGTTAGGATTTGTTTTAACCCCGAATGCGATTTTTTATTGGGATAAACGGTAAAAATCATACAAAATCGCACAAAGTTAGTGTAATAAGTAGTAGTAGTAGTAGTACGATAAACATTTTCAATAATGTTATTCAATGATGGAAAATTTTTGTTTTGATTGTTTCGTTTTGTTTTTATTCGCGATTCATAAACAAAAAACATGAAAATTGTTTTGCCCATAACATTATTCAACTAATTCATATTTTTTTTATTCATTCATTTTTTATACAGCATTTAATAAAACAAAGGTAAAACGGTGGAAAAAACCCGATGCTTCAACCAGAGGTATGTTAATTGATTAATTTTTTTACCTGAATTTGAATATATTAAAAAAATCCAATTTTGTTTATTTTTCTCTCTCATTTTCTTCATCATTCACTTACCGGTATTTGGCTCTCTGATTGATTTTGCATGATCCAATTGAATCCGAAAATGGCCAAAAAAAACACTAAAAACTACAACTACTATATGACTGTGAATTAAACAGAGAGATAAACAGAAAACACATATCTTTTTACCCAAAATCAAAATATGATTGTTGCTGTTATTGTCTAAGCACGATAAGATATCAAATCAATCAATCAATCAATCAATTTGATTGAAGAAAATTATGATCAAATAAGATCAACATCATCATCAAATTGCAACTAAACAAAAATCTTGAACAGTGAAAATAATCAACAAAGAAAGTCAATCCAGCTAAGCAACAACAAGGACAACGATCAATTGAACGAATTTTTCTTTCTTGAATCCCAAATTTTTTTTTGTTTCAGTGTGTGTCTGTTCCCTGTGCAATTTTGTGACATTTTCAATTAAATTAACACTGTGTGTTATCCTCGTAATCATATTGTGACAGTAAAAACAAAAACGAAATTCTGTTACCATCTTCACCACCATCTGATACCATCATTTTGTCTTTCATTTGAGAATTATAGAATCAAGTTTATCAATCCGAAAATATTGATTGTCTATGATTAGGTATGTAATATTTATTTTATTTTTGGTTTCACATAAATACTGGCCTTGATAACATCGCGAATGAATGAATGAATCGTTTGAATCTTTAACCAAAATCTTTTCAAAATACAAGGAATTTTGATTCTAAAAATAGAATACTTTTTCATAGCGTCGTTGATGTTGTTGTTGATGCTGATGCTGGAACACACACAAATTTGGCAACAAATTTTTTTGTAAAGATCAGGGTTTTCTTCATAATCTTTGTAATTGGGAATTTTTTTTTAAATAATGATTTACGAAAATTTTTTGAAATTACAAAATCGGAATTGGCGCCGAATAATTTTGGATTCTTTTTTTTCTGGATGAGAAAAAAAAATCAGGTGTAACATTTTTTTTTTTGTTTTGTTTTGTTTTGTTTCGAAAAAGACATGCGTAGTTCGAATGAATCCGAAAAATCGAATGAATCGAAAATTCGAATGTTCAATGCTATGAGTGTGTGTGTGTATATAGCGGATTCTTTTGTTGTTGTTTATGTTGGTGATGATGATGATGTTGGTTGAATATTCTTGATGAACTAATAATAATAATAACAACATGGATCGTGAAAGAAAAGAAAAAAAAGAAAAAAACTGATTCTATTTATAGAAACATTTTCAACTATAGTTATACAGTTTTTTTTTGTTTGTTTGGTTCGATTTTCGAGGTTTTCGTGGTTCATCGTCGTCGTAGTCGTCGACTCCGTCATCATCTTCACATTGCAACGAAAAGAAGAAAAAAGAAAACATCATTCTAAACAATTCTGTTTGATGTTTTTGTTGTTGTTGTTGTTTGTTTCATTTTTATTTCATTCAGAATTAAATGCCTGATTCTGTATTTTTTTTTTTTACTTTGCTTTTTTTTCATTCGTGTGTTTGATACGTTTAGAATGACCTAGACTAAAAATACTATTTTTTTTTTTATTATAAGGCCAATATAGAGAGAGAAAAACGTTGCTGCCGCTGATGTTTTTATTTTTAAACAAACGATAATATTGGAAATAATATTTTTGGCCATAGATAGTTATCGAACGCATATAGCTATTTTTTCCGGGGTCCATCCATATAAACCATCATCATCATCATCATCATAATCATTGAAATTCTGAATGGTTTCCTATTTTTAATTTTTTTGGAGGTGAACTAAGAGCCACCCCTGAACAACAGAAACAACCACCATGCACCATCACCCACCCACACTCCCAAAACTATTTCGAACTTGTGACCTACTTTTTGTTTTTTTTGTTTCATTCATATATTCGTTCGTTTACGTAAAGAACTATCGCACTATATTGGTGCTTTTTTCATTCACTTGAATTCGATTGAAATGAATGAATGAAAATATCCTTGGAATCATGCTTTTTTTCATTCAAAAATATTCCTGTTTCAAAAAAAGAAAAAATCTTTTTTTCATTCTTGGATTCTGACCTGTATGTGTGTGATGGAATTGGTCTGTTTTTTTTTCTTTTTCACTTGATGACGTCTTTGATGACGCAAATGAACAAATTGACCTCTCTTTTTTTTCTTCTTCTTCTTCTTGTTATTATTATTATTATTCTCATCAAAATGTGTGTCTGGCTTGTGTTCGTTTGGTGTATATTCTTTTTTTTTTAGATCGACAAGCAAGGAAATTTTTCTTTTGTTGTTTGTTTGGTTGGTTTGATTGGTTTCTACCACACACAATCGATTGATTTAAATGACCAATTTTCAAATGAAAACAAACAGCAGAATTGAATTTTTCAACCAATAAATATTCAATGATTGATTGATTGATTTGAAATAGGAAACAGCTAAATGTTCTTGATTTCTTTATTTATTTTGTTCTTAATTTTTGTGTGAATCAATTTTTTTTGCAACCAAAAATAGAATATTCTTTTTGGAATTCTTTTTTTTTCAAAAAAAAAAGTAAAGAAAGGGGAAACAAACATACACGGGGTTATATTCTGACCAAAAGTGTGTGTGTGAAAGCTTTCAAGAATCTATATGAAGAATTCTAATAAACAATGACGTCAATCGTTTGCCTATTTTCACTTTTTTAGTACGGGTTAATTTTTTTTTTGTTTTTCTTCTTTAAGTTCCACATTTTGGTTGAATGACGTCAATCATGGTACTCTCAACTTAACTCATTTTTTTTGATGATGATGATCATCATCACACGACAAGAACCAAATAAATTTTTTTTTCAGTTAGTTCAATTGTGAATGTAACACAATTTTTTTTTGATTATAGAATCCAGAATCAATAGAATCACTATCTGCAGAATACACAGGGCGACACAGTTTCGTCTATTTTCACTGATAGGTGTGTATTTGGCTGTTAGGGCCATAAACCATGTGTGTGTCCTTCTTCTTCTTCTGAATGAATATTTTGGAAAGATTTTCTGAAAAAAATGATAAAATAAGAGAATAACAAGAAGAAATGAATGAATGTAACGCATATTACGCTATGGCGCCATCAAAAATTTATTTGAAAATTTTTTCGATCGAAAATGCTGCTGCTGCTGCTGCTGCTAGCAGATTTGTTCTGTTCGAAAAGAATCGATTGAGTAAAAAAAAACTGAAAAGATTTTATGAATGAAACAAAAAAAAAATCTTTTTTTTTTACTAACCAACCAATCAACCTCGATCATGTTTGCCATATAATACATATAGCTATATGCAATGAAATAAACGCACAAACATACCGAACGCATAAACATTCAATGATATAACCATTCATTCTGAAAAACATAACGAATAATATTTCAATGTTATACACATCTTATAGTAAAAACTATTGCTACTAGCTGCTATGTTGTGTCATTGATGATGATCTTATAGTTCCTAAACTTCCAGTTTTTCTAGGTGATGATGACGCGATTGCATTCCGTTTATCTGCCTTTAGATTTTTGCTGATCAAAATCTATATAATTTTTTTGATTGAAAAAAAATGTTGTTGTAGTTGTTGTAGGAAGAAATATTTTTTTTTGTTGAAATCTTTCTTACTGGTTTGGTTTGTGAAAAAAAAATGTGAATGTTCCATGTGAATCTCTCTGTTTTCTGCAGACGCCAAAAAATATATTTTTTTTTCATTTCACCATCATTATTATATGACCACGAGAATTCAAACCGCGAACATCTCTTTTTGGGATAAATGAATTTTATTTTAGTGTGTGAATGAAACCAGTAAAAAAAATTTCAAGCAAACACACATGATGATAACCATAACCGATATCTGATTGTAGAAAAAATATTTTGAATTTTTCGATTGAAAATTATTTAAATGAATTTAATTTCAAGTCTGCCTTGTTTCAAACATTGTTGAGAGTTTTTTTGTTGACAAATTTATCAAAGTTTACAAATTTTCATCCGGTGTTTTTTGGTTTTTCTGAAAATTTCATTTGCTTCCATTTCGTTTTGTTTTGTTTTGTTTCCTGTTCAGCTATTTTGACATTATCAGTGTGTGTCTGTTGAAATATTCGATTCGAACGTTTTTTTGTTTTTGTTTGTTGGCTCAATTTTATTATCAATAAATATGCCTTAATTATCAAGATTTTTTTGGGCAACGAAGAAAATCAATCAATCAATTTTTCATTCTAATTCTGTGTTTTTTTTTCTCAATGTGTTCAACAACAACAATACCACCACCGGTCGACAATAATGATGAATCAAATTTAATTAGCAGGAATTTTGGTGTGAAACAAACAGAATCAAAAAAAAAAATCTGCCAAAACATTATCACAACGTTATCTATCTAGGCAACATGAATCAATTTTTTATGTTGATCATGATGATGATGCAAGCAATGAAAATTCTAATGATTAAAAAATCCTGATTTTTGGATCCAATTTTATTTTATTTTTTTTTTTGGAAAATTTTACACCTTTTTTTTCGCTTGAAATTTCAATCACACTGCTTTCTTTATCATTTTCGCAATAATTTTTTCAACCAAACAAACAAAAAAATCGAGCCTCGAATTTATATCAACCACCGTTCGTTTGTCAACCACAATAAAAAGAGTTCAATCAAAATTCCATTTTAACAACAGAAAAAAAATTTACAACAAACAAAAAAAAATGAGCTTGTTTTCAAATCAGAAACTTTTCGCGCCATACAATTAATTTTTACCCAACCAAAATATTCAATTATCATCACCACCACCACTGCCGTCTATCGGGTTTGATGTTTAACGATTCGAAATTCAAAAACACTGTGAAAATTCTGTGAATTGTACGTTTTTTGTTTGTTTTGTTTTAATCAATCTGTCAATCGAAATGATAAAAACAAAAACAAAAAAAAATTGATAAACAAGTGTGATAAAATCTATTGAAAAACATATATACCAATATCAAATTACAGTGTGGACAGTGTGTGTTTATGTGCTTGTTTTTCACATTAACCCCCGATAACAAGGTATGAAATTTTTCATTCGAATGTTATTTCATAGACAAGATATTTTGTTGCCAAATATTGTTTAACTAATTATTTTCTTCTTCTTTTTTTAAAAAAAGTTTATTACGGTAATTGAATTTAATGTTTTTTTTTATATTTCATGATTATAAAAAAGGGGAAATTGAAAGATTGAAATTCTTCGAATAGTTCAGTCATTCATGTTTATGTTTGTATGAGAAATTTCGAAGTAAAAGAAAAAAATCAAGATCATCATTCATTATGATGATGATGGTCGTCGGTCTATCTTACAGACCAAATAAGAAACAAAAAATTCATTCGAAAAAAATGTAGAAAAAAAACCAGAGAAAGAGAGAGGTAACACCTGAGAAAGAGAGAAAGATTGATGTCAAGAGTTCGTTTTATGTGTAATAAATATCATCATCTCTGTTTTTTCTGGCCAAAAAAAAAATTCACTAAAAACTAAACAATCAAGTTCATTCGAACCAACCAAATTCCTTATAACTGTATGTGTTTTAAGGGATGTTTTAATGGTGGTATTTTATCTTGAGCATTGAGGAGGGGGGAATAATTCGAGAGGTCTTCGGATTCCTTCCTCATTCATGTTTGTCTGTGCTGTTCTTATGTTGGACATTCTCGAATATTTTGACCGTCGGGTATTGAAAAGATGATTCAGCGATGGAGAGAGAAAATGTTTGTCGGCCTCGATTTCGTTGGCCAATGATCGCGGTTAAATTTATTTGAAGGAAAAAATTTTTCTTTTTTTCTGAATGATGATGATGAAGATGGTGAATAATGTGTGATTGCACAGGTTTTTTCGTTTGCTGAGGCAATCCATTTTCGAAGTTATTTAACTTCTTCTTCTTCTTATTGAATAAGTCTGTATCTAGTTTGTCTTGATTATTTTTTTCTGCTCAAAAAAAAAAATTCCAATCTAATCGCGTTGTCATCATTGCCGGTGTTTTTTGCCTTTAATTGATCTTTGTGATTTCATAACTTATTCATCTTTTTTTTTTGGTGAAATTCCATACATAATTGTTCGATTAGATCATCATAATCTTGTGTAACATTTGTTAAATTGAATTTTCCAACCAAAAAACAAATAATTTTTCGAAAAACAAACGAACGAACTTTGTTCTTTATATTCGAAACTATGTTCACACAATAAAAAGGTGAACAAGATGGATGAATATAGTGAGGAATGAATTGAATTGAATGAAAAGATCATAAACTTTGAAATTTAAAAAACTAGGTCAAACTTGAATTAGTTTCAATGTAACAAAAATGAGATAAATTGATTGATGAAATATTATACGACATTCAACCGAAAAAGAAAAAAACTGAATGAATAAAGTCATTTTAAAGTATTTTTTTAAAAAATAAAATTTTTCAATCAAAAAATTTTTACCGGATATGTTGATGATGATGGTCATCTTCATTCATATAATTTTTTTTTACTTCATTTATATCTGGTTTGGGTAGTTTATCTGAATTGAATTCAACGACGACGAAACGAAAAATCAGATCTTGATAATGATGATGATGATAGCCGATGGGCAAAATGGATGGGTTGTATGATAGGATTATACAACAGCAACATTCATTCATTAAATAAATCTTCAGTACATTTTTTTCTTTTTTTGTTCGAATGATATTTTCTGTTTGATTCATTCATTTTGGCTACTTAAGGTATTAATAATGTATGCATCTGATGATGATTACCAATAATAATAATTATTATTATTATAACGGTAGCTTTGGATAAAAATTTGAATTTTTTTCGTTTCGTTCAGGTGCATTTACTCTATTTACCGGTCAAATCAATAATCATTATCATCCATAATCTTTTGAATTTTTTTCTTTCTTTATTAAACCAAAAAAAAAATATAAATCATTTTCTCACATCCATTGATTGTGCCATCTTTTGGTAATCGTTCAATCAATTAAGTTCATAATATAAGCAACAGGATATCAAACAAGAAAAAAATTTTTCATTGGAATTTCCTGTGTTAATGATTATTACTTTACCTTTAACTGAACAAAAATAAAACATTGACGCCGATAATGACCAACAACAACCAGTGAAAACATTTTAGTTTTTTCTCTCTCTTTTCCTTGTGAATGAATAAATATGGAAGAAAGAAAGGTGAAAATACGTTGTTGACGGTTATTTTATGACCGTTCTTCTTCATTATCGTCGTCGTCGTTGTTTTTCCCCCTCCCAAACTCATCCCATTCCATTCATCATCATCATCTTGTTACGGATTGTATTTCTTCTTCTTCTTCGTTACTCTCTACCTACGTTGTTCTATCTTTGCTGATTTTTATTTTTCCTATTTTTTTTTAAATAATATTTTATTTTTTCGCTCCTTTTCGGCATTATACAAACACACACTCCTCGCCATACATATTATTATTATTGAGAATAAACATTCTTTACATTGCAATGGCGTCTGGCGATTGGCTGCTCTGCTCTATCTCTCTTTTTCTCAAATCCCCTATCATCATCATCATTCATTCATTCATTTGACTTGCTGAGTTTAATTTTTTTCCCGTTCGTTCGTTCGTTCGTTCAATGTGTCCATGTTGTTTTTTCCTCGAATCTCTGAATCTTTATGGAAAGAAAAGTATTCATTGATAAAACTTATTTGAAACAATTTTTTACTGATGTTATAATGTTTTACTGATGACGATTATTAAATTAATTATAAAAATCGATCAAATTTATTAAAACTTGATCATCGATTGATGATAATTATGTCGGCTACAGTCGTCAAACAAGGTAATAATCCGCAGAACATTGAAGATAGAGAGAGAGAGAAAGAAAAAAAACCCAAGCCATCGTCTAGCCAAAAGTGACATTACCATTTCTTCATTTTTTTAAAAATTTTCTTTCATGTATTTCCCCATTCATTCATTCACCTTTTACCTTTGAATCAAAAAATTTTATCTTATAAATTCTTTTTATTTTTTTTCTCAATTTTCAATCACAGATTTTCGTTGATACCGTCTGTGCATAAACATAATGCAAATCAACTTCTTTATCAACATTATCATCACACAGAAGAAAAAGAATAACATGATTTTGTTGTCAAATGTTTAATTAATTAATTTGTTGTTTAAAAAAAGAAAGATCTTTATTTATAATTGTTATTTAATTTTTAAAACAAAAAAAAAATTTTATTTTCTATTATCATTTTACATTTATAAAAATATTTATCCATTTAGGACGTTTTTAACACAGAAAGAGAGAAAAAAACAAAATTATATTTTATTTTTGCTTGTTGTTATTATTTTTTTTCTCAAAAAATTACAAATTTACACAAAAAATTATTTTGAATTTTTTTAAAGAATCAATTTTTACTGCCATATATTTTAAAAGTGAAACATATAAAAAAAATTAATAATCCATCTAAATGAGATTGAAAATGGAAACTTCGGGTAATGGAAAGATGCCGAAGACTTCAGGAATTGTTTCCGGAGCATCAGCCACACAACAGAATGGTTCATCAGCTAGTACCAGTAGTGGCATTCGTACAGGAACAGGCAATGGTGCTGGTATTCATCATCAGAATGGTAGTTCATTAACATCATCATCATCAGCCAATAAACATCGAATTTCAACAACAACCAGTATTGGATCTAGTGTGATTGGTGGTCCTACCACACCATCTTCATCAACGTCTTCATCATTACCAACGCCTGGAGCTTCTTCATCAACGTCGGCATCTTGGCCACAATTTCGTTTTGCTACCACATTGCCATTAAGGTAAAAAATTTAATGAAAATTATGATGATAAATATGATTAACATTTTAACATTGATTCCATTTATTCATGTTCATAGAATATTAGTGTTAAAAGATTTAGTTGGTGCAATCATTGGACGTGGTGGTGGAACTATTCGACAAATTACACAAGAAACACATGCACGTGTCGATGTACATCGTAAAGAAAGTTCATCGGCAAGCGAAAATATTATCATGATTTATGGTAATCCAGATAATTGTTCACAAGCATGTCGTCGTATATTGGAAGTGATGCAACAAGAGGCCAAATCATTGAATCGTCCAGATGAGATTCAATTAAAGATACTTGCTTCCAACAATCTTATTGGTCGTATAATTGGTAAAGGTGGTAATACTATTAGACGTATTATGCAACAGACTGACACTAAAATCACGATTAACAGGTATAATAAATTGAACAAAACTATATAGAATGTTGATTTTTAAAATGTTATTTTTTTGCAGTGCCAATCTTGCTTCACAATATCAACTTGAGAGAATCATATCGATCTCGGGACAATTGGAAAATATGTGCAAAGCTGAAATGATGATTAGTCAAAAATTACGTCAATGTTTTGAAAGTGATTGTATACAATATCAACAATCATTAATGTATCATCATCCGAGTGGTTTTCATCATTCCTCGTTACCTCCTTCATCATTATTACCGCCTGGTCAATCAACTGCAGCCGGACCATTAGGTATGCCGTATTCATTGGGTCCAGGATCACATCCATCCCATCAACTGCCGCAGTCAATGTCTTATTCAGCATTAGGTGCATCACCTACCTGTTCGAATCTACCACCATCCGCTTTGGTTGGACGGCCATCTGCTGTTATGGGTAGTTCGTCAGTCACATCGCCAACAACCAGTGCCGCTGCTGGACCATTATCAAGTGGTTCTCAGTCTCATTCGGTACCTCCCCCTCCTTCGACACAAGGCCCAGCAGCTACACAAGCATTCTACAATCCATATAATTTTGCACCATTCATGTATTCGCCTCATGGTCCACAAGGTAGTCTTGGTCCCCCTACGGCTCCATTTATTGGCGCTGGATCTGGAGCTCAAAATGTTCCATCGCCATACATGAATACTTATCTATGTTCATCAATGCTGCCAAATTTGGATAATGTTAAAGAAACAGTCACGATATACATACCGAATTCTGTTGTTGGTGCCATTATCGGTCGAGGAGGATCAACCATTCGTGAAATGATGAATAATTCAGGAGCCACGATCAAGGTTTGATCCATATAGATTTTCTAAGGTTTTTTTTCCATTAACTGTTTTTTCCATCAAATGCAGGTTGCTCAAATGAATGAAGAAGATACAAGCTTATCAACAACTGCTATTGATAGTAATACCAGAAGGCCTATGGAACGTCGTGTAACGATTAATGGGAATTCATTTTCACAGAATCAAGCACAATTTTTTGTATTTCAAAAAGTTTATACAGAATTATCGAATCAATCATCAATGACTGCCAACCCTACAACTATATTTCCTTATGGTGATCCGGCCATTTTAAAAGTTGAAATTATGGTGCCCACTAATCAAGTAAGACGTATAATTGGAAAAGGAGGTTCTGTTATTACCGAATTACAGCGTACATCGGGCGCAACAATCAAATTGTCAAAAGAAAGTCAATCAACAACGTCTTCAACATCATCATCATCACAAATACCAATAATGACAACGACGACGACGACGACAACGACGGCCAAATCATCATCAATATCATCACCAGAAGAACCATCATCACCGAATGGTGGTGATGATGAAACATCAGCTACTGAAAAGTTAAGCCAACAACAACAGCAACAACCTGTGGCATCATCATCATCATCAACAACAATGACAATTAGTGAAAAGCAACAAGATCAGACATCGGTCTTTATAATTGGTGATTTTTATTCATCATTTAATGCTCAAAGACAAATTCGTTTTATTGTACATCGATCAATCACTGCTTCATCATCATCTCCATCATCATCATCGATAACAACGACAACTACTGCTGCATTATTATCATCATCATCATCGTCTGTGCCTTCTTCCGCAACATTGACAACGACAAGTAGCCAGCCATTAACAACGGCAACAACCACAACAACAATAGCCGCTAGTAGTAAATCGATGTCGATAACAAAATCATCAGATGAATCAAACGAAGGAACAACAACGATAAAAGATCAAGAACAAGAATCGCAACCAAGTGATGATAGCAAAAATGGTAGTAGTAGTAGTAGTACGGTGACAACTTCCGCAATAATATCATCATCTGAAAACGATAAAAGTACTGCGATCACGACTGACACCACGAAGCCCGAATCTTGATTTTTTTCGGTTTTGTTTTTTTTTATCAGTTTTTTTTCATATCTCAATCCTTCATTGAATACAAAAAAAAAGAAGAAGAAAAAGCTACGACAAATAAAAGGACCATGGTATATTTGGTTTTAGAATTTATTTAGCGAAAAAAAAAATTCAAAATATAATCTGCTGCTCATATTGCTCACAAATACACCTAATATACACATCCAAAAAAAACCCAACAAAAAAAATAACCAACAAAAAAAATATAACATTTCGACATTTGTCATTGGTCACTGGAGTCTTCGTCTAATGAAATTTTCCTGAAGTATCAATTTCAAACTTTTTATTATTATTATAATCGTTCATCATTTCATTGCTCAATATTTGAAAAAAAAATTAGTAAAAAAATCCACGATAATCGTTACGAATATATAGAATATATCCAATCAATTATTCATCTATTATCCAATATTACAATCATACATCCGTTCAACGTAAATAGTAAATTATCGTTTTACAAACAAAAAAAAATCATTTTATTTTATGGAATAGCAAGCATTCGCCGTTTTATCAATATTACTGAATCGCTATTTTTTATCATTTATATTCATTTTACAAATTTAAAAAAAAAATAAATCGAGTGCTGGTTTATACTCGGTTATAGCCAAAATGAAAATCATTTCAATATATAAATCCATCAGCTTTCAAAAAAATTCCCATTTACTAAAATAATACCGGACGAATATATATATATTCCATCCAACTAAAACATAGGACAAAACCACCATGATCAATGACAAATGAATGAATGAATGTCAAATGAGAAAAAAAAATGAAATTACAATCGCGACCAAGTGCAATTATAAAGTTAAACAATAAGTTTCCATTTAAAAAAATATATATTCAAACATTTTTGTTTTTTCTTCTTCTTCTTCCTTTATTTTTTTTCCCCAATTCGTTTTGTCTCGAGCTTTGTTTTTCAATGAAATTCATCATTTTTACAACAACAAATCAACGAAGATGATTATGATTATGATGATGATAATGATATCGATGAGAAATTAAATATATCGTTTTATTTTGTGATCTTTACACTCTTTTTTTTTCTCTCTGTTGTTCTTGTATCAAAACTTTTTTTTTCGTTTGTTTTTCTCAATTGTTCTCCAATCTTTTTTTAAAAAATGAAATGAAAAACCGAATTCATATTTTGAAAATTCTCTTTCTCTCTCTCTCTCTCTCTCTCTCTNCATTTGGAGAAAACATCTTTACAGATTATTTCTATAGGTGATTATATTCAAAATGTTAAATGTAAGAAAAACTACAAACAAAAACAAAACAAAACAAAAATTTCTAATGAATGTTATAATTTTAAATAATAATTATTATTTACATTACATAATGATGCGCCCAATCATTGACAAAAAAAAATTTATTATTATTATTATTCTATTTATTATTATTATTATAACTAATTAATTATTATCATTATTGATTGCAAAAAAAAACACCTTCACACACACACACACACACATAAGATATTGAAATTTATTTAAAGAAGAAGAAAAGAAAAAAAATCTTTTGTCATTAGTGGCGCCTAATCATCAATCAACATTATCATCATCATCATCATCATCATAATTATTATTATCAAATTTTTCTTTTTTTCTTTTTGGAAAAGATTATACAATGATTATTTTATTTTTTTGTCTTTTCATTTTCAATTTATTTTTTTTTTTGTATTTCATTTTTAATTATTCGTTTTTCGGTCTTAAATTGTTATACACTTTACACACACAATTCTTATACACTTCACACACACACACACACACACATCATCGATTCTATACTCAAAATCTTCTTTTCTTTTCATTTCATCATTTCATCATTTCATCAAACAACAACATTCATTCGTTTGGTGACGATCTGTTTTTATAATTGTTGTTTTTTTTTCATTTGTTGTTTATGTCAAAAACAACAACAACAACAACAACTGGAATGTTTCCGGTTGTTATTTAGATACATTCGCCTCTCTTTTTAAAACATAGACATACTGATGAATGAATGAATGAATTTGAAAAGATAAACACACTAAACAACACACACACACAACACAGAAATATCACGAGGAATCATGTCAACAAAAAAATTCGGTACTTACG